CCCGTGTTCGGGAAGAATTACAGGAAGTTGCTTTTGACCCTGAATCTCTTGCATCACCCCAGTTTATTCATAAACTCATTCAGATTCCGCTGTTACAATCGATTTATGCAGAAGTCCTTCGCCTGCATGTAGAAGTTCAACACGTTCTTTACAGTCATCATTCGCCGGTGTACGTGAATCAGTGGATTTTCCCTAAAAAGACTCCTATTCTGGTACCCTGTGGCCCGGCACATCATGATACCAAAGTCTGGAACACGAGAAATGGCGAATTCCCACTGGATACCTTCTGGGCGGATCGGTTCTTACTATACCCAGAGGGCGCTATGAGCGGGCCTATGATCACAACACCGTCATCCAATGGCGTTTCACAATTCATGTCATTTTCCCGTCAAAAGGATTCTTCGAAGCCAATCTATTGCGAGTCTGTTATGCGGAACTCTTTCATCGGATACGGCGTGGGAGAAAGAACTTGCCCGGGGCGCTTCTTGGCTAAACGTGAGATCATTGCAGTTTTTGCAAGAATTGTGCAACAATACGAAATTGAGCTGTCTACAAAGGAAAAGCATTTCAAACATAGTATGGCATTTTATGGTTTTGGCACTCAAGCCCCAAAGAACAAGATACCTTTCAGGATTAAAAGAAGAGAATGTTAAATGGGTAGAGAGATTCGCATGGAAGATATTTGAGAAGCCACGCTACTGTCACTTACTATTTGTATATTAGACTATGAGTCTACGGGGAGGTTGGGCTGATTTTTGCTGCGAGTGTTCTGATAGAAAATAATAAACTTGACCAACTCGGTCAAAATAAAACAACTTAAAGTTGATATGCCATGACAGCCCTCTAAAATTAAAATTACTTCATGATTGACCTAAGCAAGTGAAAATTTGACTTAAACCCTTGGATATTGCGCAGGAGCTGAATGTAGCTCACAGAAAAATTCGTGGAGATTTTCTTGATGGTTCTCGTTCCTGAATATACTATGTATACGACAACAAAAAGGCTAATATGACGACAAAGTAGCATGAGTATCTAGAAGATCAAGTCCAAGTATGCTGATAAATGGAACCAGAATTTTCTACTTTTTATTATTTTTCATCTTGAATTTTGCAGATCACCTTCTCATACACCCTCTTGACAACCTTACATAAATCTAGACCATATCACGATCCGTCACGGGTTGATGTGACTCTTGCATTCCAGCCTATTCTCGTTAACCACCAATCAAAATTTCAAGGGGGTCTTATTTACCCCTTCACTTGTGGTCCAAATCTCATGTTGGACCTTTATGCTCTGCTGTTGTTCACTCAAAGGCCATCCATCTTCCTCCTGTTCCACGGGGATTTTGATGACTTGGCTTACCCTCAACGCGCTGCTTCTTCCGTTGATGAAGGTTCTGATACCCGTTATTGTACCTCTCTCGATTCCTGGCAGTGCCATCATTCCATGCATTTCATGACGTGCACTTATGGAATCAATAGCACCGCTGGTCTCGCTAGTGCGTTTCGTTCGCCACTTTTTGGGTGTTGCGATCATCAGCCGCAATAATTCTTTTGTTCTACTGAAAAACTTGCTGCTATCTACGGGGGGCTGGGGTCCCATTACTCTCTGGTTGCGAGAGACGAACAAAGCACGGAAGGCAGTGCCGGTGGTCAGAATTAGACCAACTTCGCCAGCGACAATAAGCCAGTAGACTTCCCATGCACTATCAAAGCTAGATTCGGCGTGAAGGCCAGAGACACGAATAATGGTCAGAACGATCATACCAATTGTGAGGCAGAGTGAGAAACCGAGGGCGATCTTCTGTGTCCAGCGAATTTTGATTTGCCAAATCAAGCGGACAGGGATTACAAGAACTGAAATTTTAGTACTTAAAGTATGTGGTAAGGATATTTTCCTTACTGATAAGGTCTGAAAAAATATCTAGGACCATTTGAGAGATTGCATAGTTGATAACGACTTGCGCCTTGGCTCCTTGACCACATTGCACTGTATTCAGTGAATCAGCAAGTATCCTAGAGGTGACAGCAAGGAGACTCACAAACTTGAGGATTATTGTAATGAGGGCAAGCCAAAATATATATCGCCATTCCATATCCCGCAATTATCAAATTAAGCACAAAAACTACCCACCAATAGCGAGTCATACTCTTGATTCTATCAATCAATTTCTTGAAGAAGAAAAGAAAGCTAAACTTGACGCTCACGATTGCGCCCCAGGCACACATCAGGCTTATTGTTGAACGCTCCGAATAATCATAAATGCGCTGAATGAAATCCTTGGGAAGTTGGGTGTATATTTCAGAGGTTCCCAGTATCAAGGCTTCGGCCATAAAGAGGTTGTCAATGTAATTGCAAAGGAGACCAATGGATGCTGTGATGCAGAGAATGCCGACTATAATCAGAGCGTCGTCTATAGCAAACTGTTTCTGAATTCGAATGCGTATGTAGAAGCGAATAAGAGCAGCAACGACTGCGAGTATGTAGAGTGCTAAGGTCGACGCCTTTCCCATCAGCTTGTGCTCAATTCAGACGAAGGGGTAGACTTACGAACAACTCTTGCTTATGAATTCGGCCCATATGATCAAATTGCGATAAACCCATCTCGAAAGCCGTTGTTCAAAGAAATGGAATCTTCGGGGGATTTGCTAAAAGATTGCCTTCCTGAGATCTCTAGAAACCTTTACGTTATGTGAGTATGATAATGGGGGAACATAAACACAACTGACGCTCACGTTTTCTTCCTGTTGACATTACCAAGCGCCATCCGTTAGGGAGCCTATATTGGCCCTTCATGTTTTCATCATAGCCAAATCTATGTCCACTCTAAGGGCGTTGGGGGCTGACGTGGTCGTCACCGAGTACTACCGAAAAAGTGACCGTTGTGGCGACTCTGACCATCTATCATATCTTGGTACATAGAAAAGGGTGTACAGCAAGTAAGTAGGTGTTCTTCATCTTTCATGCACCCTGCTGCACGTTGACAGGATGATTTTATCCAATTTTTCCTCCTCCAGTCCCGTCTACAAGCCACGCTGTAGGTCTACAGTGAAGATAGTTCTGGAAACATTCCATAACTCAATCTCACTAACAATTCTCAGTTATACGTCAGGCTTGCATAAGATGTTGTGATGCCTACCAATTCATTGACTAAGCCAGGCATTAGTTCGTGTATGCATTCTAAAATACACTTACTTTTTCATTTTTCACCGAACTTGAAACTTTTCATCTATGGTTGAGTGCTACACTGACATACACTCAACTGGCATGTATCCAATCACAGTTCTGACCGAACTATTATCTTATAAATAGGCCATCTCGACTCTCTAACGCTGTCACACGGGGCGTAATGAGATGATTTTCATCTGCCTATCATAGTGTAGGCATATCAACGTCGGGTCGCACAATAGCATTGCAAACATGAGCCCATTAATGCAGACCCATGGCCACTCCATACCTACAGAGCGAGATGCATACACATTGTGATCATTTCATTCACTACGCCTCACTGATACTTCAGACCAGTCTTCTTTTCTACATACCAAAAACTTTCTAGGCTACTTAGGTAGGTAAGGTAGAGTTTCATCTTGGTAAAAAAGTATAAATATAATCACAGGCACATTTACGCCTCATTAGCGCGTTCAAACAGACATAAATTTGAGACACTTTACATGAGTTATTAATATCTTGAGTGTCAAAATGCTAAAGAAATTCTTGTAATGTGTGTAGTGTTGGTATAGAAATACTGCTTCTATACCCCTGCCAAGAAATTGCTTTTCACTAATTTCCAAGTGATGCCGTAGTAACTTTTGCATCAGCCAACGGTCTGGAATATCAGAATCAAGCCTCCTCTATACCTCGACGTATCAGGGACTATACAGAAAAAGTTCATTCACAGTGCTCGCTAATTTACCTACAACTCTCGAACTTAGTGGCTATCAAAGTTCAATTACTAATGCCTTCCATTCGCGTTAACAGCAATAGACACTTTAGCCCCGCATAACTTTAGTGCATCAATGTCAGTCGGATTTGATCTTGTCAGGTATCTCGCTCTCCAGAGACAGAATATCGGAATATACACAGTCATGCTTGTTAGAGTCCTGGCTCTTCTTGGATTCTTCGCCTTACCGTTTCTTTTCTCTCAAATGATTACATATTTCCTCATCCCCAAAGATTTCGTGGAAGTCAGGAATGAAGACATCGATGGTTATGACGAGGAAGAGTTTTATGCTCATTTTTCCGTCAAAGAATGAGGTATTTTTACTCCAATAAAGAATAATTGTAAGTGTCACACTAGAGTGCTAAATAGCTATACTAACGTTCAACATCAATCAGCCGCGAACTTGGAGCCCATAGCCGTAGTAACTGGCTCGACTTTTCAACAATCAGCAAGTAACCTGGATTTTGCGCGGGGAGAATTGGATGTTCCGCTAAGTTTGGGTATCAGCACAAACGAGCACAATGTGTTCCATGGTTCTGGGTTGAAGTGATTCACTCAGCGATATTCCCGTTCTGTGGAACTCATTGAGAATGCCATGATGAGGACACTCAAAGTCAGGAAGTCGCGACGACGAATAGCAATCTTCAATCTTGACAGGTAGTTGGTGAAATCAATGTACATGAGTTGGCTCTTAGTATAGGAAAATGAAGATCATGAATCAAAGCGCTGTGCTTGTATGTTACCCGAAATTCTTTACGTATCAATATCGAGTATTTTTGCTTATGTTCAAAACTTTCCATGTATACTTGTACGTAGTTTTATTCACAATCATTGACCTCACAGTTAGATATCACTCTTCAATTGAAGCCGGTGATGTCAAACTAGAATAGAGTACATATGGCTCACATAAAATAGATGGGTGGATTTCGCGACGTAATTGAATTGTGCCATAGTTACGTAGTGAAAATAGTCGATGTAACGAGTTCTCTCTGTGACTCTGAGTTATATTCTGGGATCACCCCCGGCCCCATATCACCGCTTGCTGTGTTCCTGCTTTCTTTCAAAGGAAATTCAACACCAGAATGGCAAAAATGGCTCCACCAGCCCGAAGTCTAGATTGAAGTTGCTGATTCTCTGCCCCGGCGGACAGTGAGGTAGTGGCATCAGTTGAATTGGCAACCGAAGGAGTGGTAGCTAATCAAAGTAAGTTGTTGCACGTCATAAGTATCCGAAATTTGTATTGGGTGGTTTTACTTGGACTTGCGCTCGTTGTTCTGGCACCTGTGGTGGGAATGGCACTCGGAGCAGAGGGAGCCCCACTAGTAGATGAGGGACAAGATGGCAGTGTACTGGCGATGGAGATCCCCGCCCTGCGAATGTCTATGAGTAAGGATTCCTTATAAAGTGGAACCATGTGTATTTACCCCGAGCACAAATTCACCGCAAACGAGATAACCGCTAAGCAGCATGTCAGAAACTTGCCGATTTGAAAAGAGGTTGAATATTTTACATACAATCAAAATCAGCCGTATCGCATTTTGAAAACGAACAACAACCTATGTTTTGCGAGAACGAGCTGTCAGCGCAGATGCAGTTAATATCAGTCTGACCGCACTGTGACGGCAAACTAGATAGACAGCTTTGCTGTAAATGAATGTCAGTAACGGGTGGCATATGACTGACTAGATAATACCTTACAGCGCAAGAGGGCAATTGAGCTGAGATCAAAGAGACAGTGCTCAAAAATGCAAAAATTTGTTGTGTAACCTTCATGGTAGGTTTTTGTGAATTTTGACTGAACTCTAAGTTTCTTTGGAAAATGAATGTCTGATAGAATATTGAGAGGCAGAACTAAACGTGGAGCTCTCTCGAAGTCGAGGTGCCTTCAAATCGTCTATCAGAGTAGCCCGCTAGCTACTTTTAGCCCCCATTCTGTATTCAAGAGCCTCGTATCTCTCTTGGCCCCACGAAGATTGATGTTCTAATCTTACACACCACCTTCGAAGTAAGGCAACGGCGTGGTATATTGACACATTCTTGGAAATTTGAAGCGGTGCACCACCAGTCCTTGACACTTGGTTATCATTTGTGCAAAAGAACCCCGAAATTGAACAGTCCAAGAAACTGAGGTGGTATACGTACCATTAGCCTTCTGCTGTAGTGCCTCGAGAATCAGAATCTGCAGATGAATATTACGTTATCAGGGTTGTAACGCTGGTATTATACCCACCATCTTCGCAGTAAGGGTGGCGTAATATTTAAATTAAAAAAATAAGCCGCATAAGTGCTAATCGAGCACAGCTGTTCGCTGGTCCCAAAAACCACACAGAAACAGTCATTTTGCCCTATTTATAACCATAATCCTTCAGGATATCAGTGTGTGTGAAGAGAAGGTTGAGGATAACCTATCGGGATTCATCAGACGGTTCAATGTTCCTTACGGAATGACTTCATCCGAAATATGGAGTAATTTAATGACTATAATCACAGGGTAACAAACGACCGCTGTACAAAATCAGGGGGGCGGCACGGACCGGGATTATTGATATAAAGTTAATTAAGAATGACCAGCTTAGCCTTTAAATAAGTAATAGCCGACTATTAGGTACCGGCGCTAAGCCTCACCGAGTTACTTAGGGTTGCACTAATGGAAGTAACTGCTATTACTTTAAAGAGCTTAGGTTTAATAAGAGCTAAAATGATTCGTCGAAAAGTTCAAAATTGAAAGCTGATACGAGGTGAATGTTCGTTCAGCTTTGGTAATTGGTAGAAACATATATCTCATAATCACGACGATAATAATACTGATAATAGTGATTGGACTCTAGTAGTCAAATAGATGGACGTCGCGCCCCCTGTCGATCGATGCTGATAGGCGAATTTATAGGACACGGGCCTCTAGGGTCACCTAATAATGCCCGGATAGACTAACCCCTCCATGACAAACAAATGCCTGGAAACTGTTGCTTTCCAATAGGTTTCCATGCATATCGAAATTGGATGTGTATTTTGCCTACCTCCGTAGGTGATCCAATCTTGAATTGCTGCAATTTGTAGCAAGTGGTGAATGATATCTCGCCATCGTTGTTAAGAATAAAATACCTATCCACAACACCAACAACCTCACTCGGCCTCTCACTTTACATTGCTGCGCCCCTTTAAAGCCTTTTCAAGCTTGGAAATCTACCAATCTCACTACTTGTGCGTTGTATCATGTGGCGTTTAGGCGGTAGTGAATTCTCGGTTTAACGTACCATCATTTGATATCTTGACAATTAGAATCAAATCTTTACAAACAACAAACAAACAGTCAATCTTCAATAACTTAACTACTCACGCCATCATGAATGTTTTCCAGACCAAGCCAATCTTTACGGCTGTCTCGGCCGTAGTGGTAACTTTGCTGGGCTATTTCTTCACACGACTCTATGCAGCGCGGATGCTCATGGTAAAGCTTCAGAAGCAAGGCTGTGTCAGTTTTTTAATCTTTCTTTCTGAACGCCAGCTAACAACATTTGCAGCCCGTAGCACCTGGACATTCCTTACTATTTGGACACCTTCTCTTGCTTGGGAAGATGTCCAGGCGCCTTCCAAAAGATGCTCACTACCAATATATGTTCGGCGAGATCTACCGCGACCATTTTGAGTCTACAGGCGTATATTATATGGATCTCTGGCCCATGACTGGACTCTTCATGTGCATCCACTCTCCCACGACTGCCATCTCTGTAACGCAGACGAACACTCTAATTGCCGCGCGCAAAGTTGACCTTTTGCCACGCTTTTTCAAGCCAATTGCAGGAGGCCCCTGTCTTTTCGATATGCCCGAAGAATCGTGGAGACCGTGGCGTGCTGTATTTAACAAGGCGTTCAACAATGAACATTTCCAGAAGCTGGTCCCGGGAATGGTTAAGCAGATTGAAGTTTATAAGGATATTTTAAGGTATATCATTGATTCCTTTCTTCATCGTCATCCGATATCTGCCTCTGTTTGTTTGGCTCGCTAAATGCTTTGTAATCTCTGGTGCAATTTCGTCTTTCAACCTTTTCCTGGTTCTATATTGCTAATTATTTGATATTATGATAGAGAGCACGCCGAAAAGGGCGATATGTTCTATCTGGATACCACGACTCTGCGCTTCACTATGGATTTGATTGGCAAGACAATCATGTGCGTCTCTTTCTCCTCATCCCATTACCAAGCGAGGCTAAACTGATTAGGAACACCGAGTTTCATGCTCAACGCGGCTACAATGTTCTTGCAGACTCTATGATCAGCCAAATTCGCTGGCATGAGCCTGCTGCCGCTATCGACCCATTCAGCCGCATAAATGTAGCACGATGGTATATGGAATGGTCTAACGGAAGAAAGATGGATGCATATATTAGTGCAGAGCTAGATAGAAGATATGCGGAATACAAAGCCGACTCCAAGGATTCACGTAGCAAAGCTATTATCGATCTCATCTTGCAAGCAGAAATTGCTCCCGACACCGATGTTAAGCCTGAGAAATTAGATGCTGATTTCAAAGCATTCGCGATCAGGCAGATACGCTTGTTTGTTTTCTCGGGCCACGACTCACTCAGTAGTACAATCTGCTATATCTACCATTTACTCTCGAAAAATATGGAGGCGATGCAAAAAGTCAAAGAAGAACTTGATCTTGTCTTTGGAAAACAGATCGATGGAGCAAGCGAGCTTTTGAAAAACAAACCACATCTCGCAAATGATTTGCCTTACATAACAGCTGTCATCAAGGAAACGCTTCGGCTTTTTCCTGCCGCGTCAAGTTCCCGACAAGGATATCCAGGTGTGACTCTTTATGATGATCAGGGCACTGCATGTCCTACTAATGGCGCAGTCTGCTTCATTGACCATGTAGGCATGCACCGCGCACCGAAGTACTGGGTTAGACCTGAAGAGTTTCTTCCAGAACGATGGCTGGTAGACCCAGGTCATGAGCTATACCCTGTGAAAGGTGCATGGAGACCGTTTGAATACGGCCCAAGAAACTGCATTGCCCAGGGACTAGTCATGACGGAGTTGAGAGTTTTGTTGGCCTGCACTGTACGAGAATTTGTGTTTGAAGATGCATATGAAGAATGGGATAGGTCTCATAAGAAGAAAGGCCCGCAAACTTTTAGAGGAGAGAGAGCATATCAGATTGAAGAAGCTGCAGCACACCCTAGTGCCCATTATCCTTGTCGAGTGAGGATGATGAATGTTTGACTTTAAAATTTGGTCGAATGAGGGGGTGAAGTGAGGTATTAATGGATTCAGTGATTTGGTAAGGACGACAATTAGCAATAAAGTAAATAAGTTGAGTTGACTACAAAAACGGTCATAAACAATTTCCATATGCCTAACAATCTCAATGAAATGCTTGATTTCCTTATGGTATTGGTCATGATCAAAAGCTGTACGCTTCCACTGGTGCTTGTATAACCTTCAAAACGCAACACCACCGAGTTTATGGTAAATCATAGCTCTTCAAATATTAGGATAAACGAATGGTGTGCAGGTGCTGCCTTCTCAAAGAATCATGATGTATAAAATATTAAGGTAATGTTTTTCATAACATAACACTCAAATGACAATCAGAACCGAGAAAAAAACATGGACGAGGAGAATTCGTGTGAGCTTGGACGCTAACCGAGTTAGGACTAGCCGCATCTCTAAGACTTTAGATCCAAAGTGCTTGTGGTTCTAAACCGACAATGGGATATTCTCGCGACGCGTTTTGAATATACTACGTAGTCAACGATCTGTCGAAAATACCATACAATACTTCGAGACTGCGCAATTCCTATGGTTATGATCGCCTAAATGAACAGTCTGTCTTGAGACGCTTTTGAGCTGTTTTCAAAATTCGTACTTTCGCAAGGTCCAAGGAACGATTGATTGAATTAGTACTTCCTATATTCGAGAATCCCACATCAATATGACGGCTCGCAATCCCCCTCAATCTTTCATCTCGAGTTATGCTCCGCGATTGCGCACATATGCCAATTCGTTGCTTACCCCAGTCATACAGCCAACAGCAGCCGTCGCGACACCACTCGGCAGAACAACGAAAAGAGGAACCACAGCAATAAATTACGCAGAGGATGGATATGAATTCGAGGAGGATGATGATGATGAAAACAAAAGAAGGCCTACAGGCTTACGGAGTTTACGAAGGGAAGATACTGGACAGGCAAAACAAGACCCCGCAGAAAAGGTTGGCAAAGAAGCTACTGCGCCAGTAGAAATTCAAGGTATTTGGAGAGATTGGATGGGCAAGCAACGGCCAGGAAAAACCGACATGCAAAATTATGCACAAATCGCATTACCTTTAACGTTAATCCCGATTCGAATCGACCTTGATATCCCGTCCTTCACACCCCCTGCGCCTTTACCCGTACCTGTAAACATTCAAGTATCTTATCCTTCGATTGATACTTCCCTACCGGCATACAAACCACAAGAGACGACAGTCCCATATCGCCTGAAGGACGTATTTCTGTGGAATTTACACGAGACATTGACAACCACCGATCAATTTGCGCAAACGATGGTACAAGATCTGGACTTACCAAACAGAGGACAAATGGCAGCCGAAATCAGTAAGCAAATCCGTACACAGCTTGAAGAATACGCGGGTGTGGCTCTACATCCACTCTTTCATTCGCAACAGACTGCAACGGCGAACGGCACTGTGACCACCATCAAACAAGGGCCGTCGTCTCGAGATGCTTCAAGTACACCTGCAGCCAGTGGAAATGCGACACCTATGCGAAATGTCATTGCTCAATCTAATGGCTATTCGACTCCTGCTAAGGCTCCCACTTCGCAGTCGCAAGATATAACTGCCACTGCAACCTCAATACCTCCAGAATCTGATGAATATAACCCCGATGATATGTACCGGTGCATCATTAATTTGAATATCAATCTCTCCAATCATCTCTACACAGACAAATTTGAATGGTCATTACTACACCCTCCAGGAACAGCTGAAATATTCTCAAAACAAACCTGCGCAGATCTTGGTTTACCTGGGGAATGGGTCCCGGCCATGACACATGCGATTTATGAAGCAGTTTTGAGATTAAAAAAGGAGGCATGTGAAAGTGGTGGTTTGGTTGGCGCTTATGGGGGAGAAATACCCAATGATGCTGTGCATGGTAAGGATGCCGGATGGAGATATGATAATGAGCACCTAGCAGATGAGTGGGAACCCAAGGTTGAGATCTTGTCAAAGGAAGAGATCGAGAAGCGAGAGGGTGATAGAGAAAGACAAATTAGGCGGATGAGAAGAGAGACTGCTAGATTCTCTTCAAATTCGGGGATGGCTGGTGGCCTTCCAACACCAGGTGAGAACAGAGGATATTTTGATGAACCACCTGCGGAAGAACGCATGGGTCGTGGTGAGAGAAGTAAGAAGAAGAGACGCTTCAGAAGTCTTAGTCCGTTGGGGAGATCTGGAACACCCGGTGGAAGAGGAACTCCTGATACTGGCGGCATTACTGGGTATGGTGGAGGTGGTAGTCTTACCGAATTTGAGCGAAACAGTTGGAGATGCTCACATTGTAAAGTCTGGGGAACATCGGTTTGGTGTGTGAGGGATGGGCCGTTCGGACCAAGAGTGAGTCATCCTTATGTCTTGACTATGATAGTTGCTACTAACACTTCTCAGACTCTTTGTAATAATTGTGGCTTCCTATTCGAGAAAGACCGCAAGCTACCTCGATGGGCCAAGGATCTTCATAGACAAGACATCCGCTCAAGTGATTACAGATAAAAATATTTCCAGTGTATTCTGTCAATCGCCATATGAGAAATTTCTACTTTGATTTTCATGAATTTTGGGAAGCTTTTTTTGCTAGGAGTCTGAGACAGGGGGCTTTATATCACGCAGCGATGTGGTAATATGGATCACAAATGATTTACTTCTGGTGTGCACATTGACAAGTGTTTGATTAAGGATGGAAAAGTCGGTTTCATAGAGCAATGACTTTTCGAGAAGAAACTTTTGTACAATAGAGAGCTCAGGCCAATTAATGAAGTTTGATCAAGAATATGTGTATGAAAGTTTATATTGGACGGATGTTGTGAATGAATGTCTTGCAGTATCTTTATTAAACATTCTTGACAACATTTTTAGAGAGTAGTATACTATCTCGAAGAGAACCACCATATACACCTCTTGCTATGGTTGCAGTTTTCATTAATCACATTGGTACCTTTTTGTGGTAACATGAGATAAGGACCAACCCCTGATGAACCCGGAGCGAGGAGCCAGAGAGAGCATTCTAATAAAAGCAAACTTTCAACTCCCATCCTGCCATTACAATTGATAACCTAACCCTCGCAGAAAAAGCCCAAATCAAAATCAACAATCCCCATATCCAACCACCACGCCACACCATCAATATTTCTGCATATTGTAGTAAAATCGAAACAGAAAGCTCGCGAGTATCTCGAACTCCCCATCTACTGAATTTGGCACGAGTTCATCCATACATATCCTTTCCATCCATCAGATATCTACATATCCATCTTCGTTTTCTTATTGGCCTCTTCGTCGTGTCTACTAACGCTGGATTCTCTAGCTCTCTTGCCAAAATCTTTGGAAGGACCAGCAGGGAAAATACCCATTTGTGGTTGTGCTCTTCCTTCTTGTGCTTTTGGTTGTTGCTGCTGGGTAGGATCTTGTAACGGCAGACCCCACTGTGCGGGAGCTTGACCTCGTGCACTCTCATTTCCATCTCCACTCATCTGGAATGATTCATGTGGGCTTGGAACTTCCTTTTTCTGCGCCAATGTCTCATTCTGTATCTGTCTCTGGGTAATAAGTGCTTGTTGGCGGGCTTGTGCAAAAGCTTCCTGAGCGTTTCTATGCACAGCTGCCTCCATACTTGCTGTTTCACTCCTCGGTCCTTGTCCTTGTCCTTGTGCTTGAGCATGCGCAGCAGCTTGAGATTGGACATGAGCCTGTGCCAACATTCTCTGTGCCTGTGTTTGTGCCGCCAGTGCGTCACCTTTGACTTTTTGTCCCCAGATCTTAACAGCTTCTTCTCCTAGAATATTATGCTTTCCATTGACCGTCACAGCAGCGCTAATTTCAACTCTGATTCCCCTGGGTTGACCATCAGCATCGCCCATTGGAATACCGCGTGATCCTTCAGACGCGGCCTTTAGAGATTGGAGGATTGCATCTGTGATTTTTTGGACTTGTGGGGCAGGGTGGAAAGTGACTATGTTGTCATCACCAGTGATAGTCAGGGGGGAATCGATGCTGAGACTGAGACGAGTGGATTCATAACCGGCCTCCTCCTCCTCCTCCTCTTTCTGCTCTGGTTGTTGAACAGGTACTCGAAGTTGTGCGTTAGTTGAGGCGGTAGGAGCAAAGGTATTTGGCCTTCCATTCTTCATGCTGAAATGTGTGGGGGGCATGGTGAAAAGTTGTCGGAATGCAGGTTCTATTTGTCCACCGTTTAGTCTCATCGCAGTCGGGCTCGAGCTGGCGATATCTTCTGACAGCATGTGTGCTGGTTGAAATGCTTGCGACTGGCCAGCATGCTGCTGTTGTAGTCGTTGCTGCTGTGCTTGATTTCGCTGCATTTGTTGCTGTGCCGCATACCGCTGCTGTTGTAATTGTTGCTGTGCTCGATCCTGCTCCATTTGATGATACTGACTTTGTAAAGTTTGAGCTTGCTGTTGTGCGATTCGATGTTGGTGCAGCATATTGATTCCTATCTGCTGTTGCGTCAGGGTATTTCCTGGTCCGAAATTAGGATTGTTGGCGCCATCTTGTTGCTGCATCTGTTGACTTGCTTGAATTCTAGTATTGTTGACTCTAGAGCCTGTATTTGTACCACCAAGGGAATCCATAGGCGTAGCACGACCACTGGTTTGATTAGAAGTAATTCCCAAACCTTGAGGCATGCCTTGGTGATTGATTGGAGGAGAATCACCCGAGCCTGACATGACTAAAAGTTGAGGATGATTGATTTGATTCAAAAGATTGTAGGATACAGTGTGCCACAATGTGATGGTAAAAAAAGGTTGTTGTAAATTTAATGGTATTTGGTTGGATTGTAGATCGGAAAAAATTGATCTCGAACTTCAAATACTTAAATATTGGTTGTGGGAAATCAAAGAAAAGTTGAGAACAATCTTTGAGACGCTAAGCTAATAAAAGACTTGTTCTGCCCTCCGAAGTGGAAGATACCGACCTGTATGGATTTCAAATTCACTATCATAAAACTTCACTCGAAGCTTCTCTAGATGATGGTGGTGGATGGATAATAAAGCAAGGTACAGTGAATGCCTGAATCTTTATAGGAGATGGAAGAACTTTGCGACTACCATTCATCCATTTGAAAATGAGAAATTTCAAACATCTAGCTCTCAATGAAAAAGGTGAGTTCTTTCAGATCGTTGAAGTTGAATCTCTGATAACAATAAGAGTATCTATTCGTCGAATCTGGTGGGAGAAATGGATAGCATGGCTGACCTCTGATAATTGAACAAATGACTGCTATGGAATAATATAGAGACATAAGTATGATTGTTAAACAGTTTGATAGGTTGTTAAAATTTTGTCAAAGTCAAGTAAGAAAGACTAGGAGACACATGAGCTGTCTGTAGACAGTCCTTCAACGACAGAATAGAAGGTATATAGTTAGGATAGTAGAAGATAGAATCAGTATTGTATGAAATTTACATCAAAACTCAGCCAGTTCCCACGAGATGCGACAGTATGTGTAAATTGCAGCTTCCATATACCAACATTGAACCATCACAGCCATTAATGAGACAGAGAACAAGGAACGTCTGGATCTAAGACTCCAAAACTGGCACATAGAAGATTTTCATGACTATATAAAAGCACTAGGGCCATTTACAAAACAGCAACTGGTAGCACCAGATATCTGCATGATCTGGTAGCTTCATGAATAACATACCGAATGGAAATGTTGAAGAGAATAGTCATAGTAGACAGGTGAAGATGATAGTAGTTTGAAGAATATTAAAGATACCCTGATCTAGACAACTTCATGAGAACAGTAAGTACTGGAATAGATGTGAGAATGCTTTTCTGGCTACACTCGGAATTCAAAAGGACAATGATCAAAAGTCTTGGTGTTAATGAGTGGAGAATATTGCTATTAAAGCGTTCAGAGAAGGAGAGAAAAAACTATTGTTAGAAGTAGAAATAACAGTGTTTGTGAGCAGTGGTGTCTAAAAAAATGAGAAGAGCAGTATGACAGAAGACAAATAAAACACATCCACTTGAATCATCAGTATGATGGTGTTTGACCAGCTCCAAACCATTATCAATGCCATTCCTTCACCAGCTATCAAAAGCGTCATCTTCAACTTTGACCTGGCATCTTCTCAAACAACAATACTCACTCATACAAATTGTTCTTTTGGTCGTAACAAATCATGAATTGGTATCTTCTTCTAGGCCACCTCATCATCCCATCTATCCCTCGTATCTTACAAACCTCTCCAAGGCAAAGACATCTACGCTCAAGTAGCTCATTTCTTCTCTACCGACTTCTTAACACCCTCGACAAATGCCTCAACTGCCTCGCCACCTCCTAATGGAACACTTCCTCCCTTAATTAAACCATTATTCTTTAGCTCAACTCCTAATGCATCTGCAATACTAGGCAAGCCACCGTCTCGAATTGCCATAGTCAGACTTCCCAAGCTCTGATGGAATTGTGGACTCCTAACTACTCTCTTCAATACCGACTTCTTTTGGTCCAAGCTCAAAGCCTCCATAGCAGCGTTTGCAGTCGCAGGAGTTGCATCAGCCGTTCCTTCGAGGGAAGATGCGGATTCTTGTGCAAGTTGTAGGATGGTTGGTGGAAGATAGCTGAGGAGATTATCCACTTGGGCTGGGGTTGCAGCGTCGATCGATGGAATGGTTACCGTATTTGGTAAAAGATCCGGTAAAGTAGTGTACATTTGAGTTTGGGATTGTTGTTGCATACCAGCTCCCCCAGGACCCTTTAATGAATTGAGAAAGTTTTGAACAACTGAGGCAGCATCTGATGGCCCTGAACCAGCACTACTCACATAGTCAGCGCAAGGTTCTTTTTGTAGGCTAAAACAGATGGTTTTCGTAAATTTTAGAATTCATGCGCAACATAGCTGTCTAGAAGTACAAGAACAATACGGTGTGATTATTGTTGAATCTTCCAATGTACCAACCAAACGCCTCGTGTGTAAATGCTTGGATACTTTGCAAAAATTGGATGAGAATAACCTACGCTCTTCCACCATCAGCTCCGGCCTCCCTTGAGCTAGCTCCTTCTTCCCTAACATCTCCACCGGTTGCACCAGCACCAGCACCTCCACTTCCACCTTGATGTTCGGACGAATCACCATGACCTTCGACGTCCTCCATCGTTTCGTCCTGGTCGTCATTTCCTCCATCATCTCCTCTGACTTGTGCGATTTCCTGTTCGACGTCGACTTCATCTCCTTGTAACAATGAATTCACAATTTGTCCAATCTTCAAGTCCCTGGGACTAAACCAACTTGCATCTCCATTTCGCGCTTGGGGTTTTGATTGCATCCAGAAAAGATATCTTTGGGAAGAGGATGAAAATTTAAGAACGAATATGCGGCCATTGGTTTTTGCGGTTGGTTCAGTGGTTTGGTTGGAATCGTAAGGTTGGAAAATGGCGTCGGTTGGTGGTAAAAGTAAATCCATGTTATCCTCATCATCCATACGTTTGCTTCTTTCTCGCCATTGAAAATGAATTAAATCTTCATAGCAGTTAGTCAAATTCTATGTCCAGGGATATCTAGATGACCTACCATCTTCGGACCAAAGGTAGATATAACCTGGAGTTGCTTCAGGCTTAACTTTGTGAGGTGTACTTGATGTCTGGTAGAAGTAGAGATGTTAGTTTGGCATTTTAATGCAGAAAGATATGAATAAACTTACATCGATTTCACACTTCCCCGCCTTGAAAGTAATAATTGGTGAAATGGACATCTTGTTGATTTTGATAAGCTGTTTGGACAGGTATCTTGTTGAACAGGATAGCTTTAATGCGTAATGAAGTATGGGAAGCTTCACTCTAGGCGGCCGGAGCTTCGCAATGAAAGTGTCCGGGTGGGTCTACCAATTATGACGCTAAAAAGTTTATTGATATGTTGGCCTTGTATAAAGGGCATAATTTCTCCAAACTTAGATAATCACACAATCACATGATACACAAATCATTAAGCGAATTGAAATTCCAAGTGTAGTGCCGCAGGTTTTAGCCCTGCTTGAATTTCTGTATTGGAAGAACATCTCGACTTTTACGCCAACGACCAGCGACAAAATTTACGACAACTACCCACCAACGGTTCCTTCTTCAAGATGTCGGCAACAGAAGCTACCCAGAAGAAGACCTTCGGAAAATCGACCCGGGTCGTTTCCAACGAGAAGGCACAAAAGTACTACCCGGCAGAGGATGTCTCCGCTCCAAGAAAGGTAAATACAAGAGGACCCTTTTTTTGAAAGAGATGGCAGAGCGTTGGCTGGAATATCGTCAAATTTGGAAAATAACGAGGCGCGGGATTGAAATATATGGGACTTTGCGGTCACAATTGCAATCGGCAGACATATATTTGATTTTGATATCAACCAGATCGCCATTACATTACATCACTGCATCGCATTTTTAGGCATTGTTTTATGGTTGAAAGAACCTCATCACTAACAATCAATTCTCCAGGTCCGCAAGTCCATCAGACCATCTAAAGTTAGACCATCCCTCGAACCCGGAAAAGTCCTGATCCTCCTCGCCGGTCGTTTCCGTGGCAAGCGTGTCGTTCTCTTGAAGGCACTCGACCAAGGTGTTCTCCTCGTTACCGGCCCATTCAAGGTCAACGGTGTCCCGATCCGCAGAGTCAACGCCCGTTACGTTATCGCCACCTCTACCAAGGTTGATTTGGAGGGTATCGACTCAGCAAAGATTGAGGAGCTCTCAAACCCAAAGTACTTTGCTAGAGAGAAGTCAGAGAAGAAGGCATCAGAAGAGGCTTTCTTCAAGCAAGGCGAGAAGCCAGAGGTAAGATCTTATGCTGGATATATGTCACAATTACATGGATTTAACAAATCAAAACAGAAGAAGCAACCATCCTCCAGCCGCGCAGCAGACCAAAAGACCATCGATAAGGCCATCCTTTCCAGCCTCAAAAAGACCCCAGAACTCGCCAGCTACCTCGGTAGCTCTTTCAGCCTTCGCAAGGGTGATAAGCCACACGCAATGGTATTTTAAATATGTGTTGTGGAGATTGGGGGGAATGGGTACATTTGGGCGCGGATGTGGGAAAATTCTACAGTCGATTTGACGAGTCGCTTCTTGCATCTTGACCTCTGAATGGGCATGGGTCGTCTCATTGTGAAGGGCGCTATGTAATCTGATTTGCAATGATGAAGAAAACCACAAAGCAATGATATCTTTTTTTACGCGGATGATTGTGAGATATGTGATTTTAGGATGATCTTTGGCAGGTGAAGAGTATGGATGGGAGTGTGGTAGACATGCGTTTTAAAGGATGAGAATTTGTGACGACATCAGCCAGTCAACATGTGTCCATGTGAAAGTTGCGGGGTGCAATGCTCGAGTGCAATCCAATCCATTCTGTGGAATTAGTAAAGGGTGGGTAAAGATAAGTATGGCCAAGCCACGTTTTCTACTCGTTATACCGAAAACTACACACAGCGCTATCTTTGGTCATACCCAATTTAATTTTATATTTATGTGATGAAACTCTACGCGCTAGCACTGATACTTTTGGAATTCAAAAGATCCCCGAAGCTGGGGTGCTGTAGGTATAGTCTTCCACCGGCACTATCAAAAGCACAATGGTGGTCTCACTGAATATGCGCAAAACCCGTGCATCAAGATCGTTCCATGCCTCATTCCCGGTTCATCTCTCCTTTCTCCATGCCTCCCACTACTTCGACCCCACAAATTTAAACGTCTCTCTCCGCAAAACTCCTAATCATTCCCTCGCAACTCGCCTCATATTCCTTCAACTCCACCTTCCCATCCTCTCCTAATACCGTATTTGCCTGCACAAAAACCTTTCTTGGTTGCTTACACTTCAACACCTGATCTCTAACTTTCTGTCCCCAATATTCTGGCTCTACGTAACACATATCGTTGTATACCTTGACACCTGTTTCTACATCCGCAATAGATTTATAGATGTGTAATTTTTGAAGGTAGGATTCTACAGCTTGACGACCGACTGTAGGAATGAGGTGACGCTTGAGATTGATTGTTAGATCTGAGAGATCGGGAGTGGAATGGGTGATGGTGCAGAAAGATTCAGGAGCCGAGAGGAAACATTGGAGGATGGAGAAGCGAGCTTGAGAATGTGCTTGGCCCCATTTGGTGGAGCGAGGGTCCCACTGGATAAAGTTAGTACTAGGTTGTTCCTCTTGCGAGAAGATTTCAAGGGAGGATACATACGATTTCTAAAGAGCAAACACCCATCCTAGCCATAGATAACCAGGCTGCATACAAAACATCGCCAGCTTCATTGTTCATATCAGGTGTTCCATCACCGTAGCCGAAGATCTTTAAAACCTCGAAATCACAACTGAGGGCCATGGCGATAGCCTCGGCTCTACACTCTTCATAACTCGAGGCTACACTTCCAAATACAGATCCCCATGTTTGTCCAGGCTTATACCATGTAGTGATTGGCTTTCCAGTAAGAGGATTGACAGGAGGATTATTGATGTCGAAATTATAGACGCCCGGTTTGGTTTCTTGAAGTAATTTCCCGGTTCCATGACCAAGAAGCTCGTGGACTCCCACCTGTACCTCGAAGGCTGCATCACGATACTTGGAAAACACTTCGAGATCTTCATCTCTGATAAATGGGATTTTCTCGTTGGGTGCTTTAGCGGATAACACGTTGCCTAATGAGACATTTTTGAACCCTTCGGTTTGTCTGATATCGTCGTAGTTGGGCTGTAATATTGTTCAGTGCTGAAAGGTTCTATACAATTAAAGGTTCCTTACGATGTTAATACCTGCTGGAATTCCAGCTCCAGCAAACGTCAAAACTTCAAGACTTGTAAAATCTGGGCTCAAGAATTTATCTTTTTCAAATTCTGTTCCCCAAGGCAATTTGGGAATGAGGCTTTCAGCGGCATTGACAAGACCGCCAAAGGCACGAGTACGTTCAGCGTTTACCATAGCCGCAAATCCTAATCAAATAATTCGTCAGTTTTATTGTCTCGAAACTCGAAAACATGAAAGACATACCCTGGAATTCAGCTCTCACGCCCTGAGGATCTCTCAAAGTCTCGATGAATCCAATGTTAGATTCAACCGAAGGCCCCTTATCTCTGATCCAATATCTTTGCGAATCCTTGAAGACTTGCGATGAACCAGTTTCAAATGATTTAGCATAAGCTTCATACATGTTCTTCTGTGTATTATTTGCTGCATTCTCGGCGGCTTTCTTGCAATTCTCGGCAATCAGAGCCAACTCTTTTGAATGATCACCAAAAGCAATCTTCAGCTTACTGCCCTTTAGTGGGCCTTCCTCGATGGTGAAATCGGTTTCCTTTCCAATATCGCTACCTTCAGGTGGTACACTTGTGACGGCTGAAGCAAGCAAAACTTCGAATGATCCTTCGGGAGACTTTCTCAATCTTGTGTTTTCCTATTTGATGGGTCAACAATATAAACAGGCCAACAAATGCGGTTTACTTACCACAAGTAACCCTTTTTGCTCCAAGAAATCACCCACTGCAATGATATCAGATTTGGTGATGCTGGTTGAATCGGGATAATAATTGGTCAAATGTCCATCATCAGGAAATCCAAGATGCATCAATCCAGGATCTTGAGTTGGGAAGATAGCCCCTTTGGTTGCTTCATAATGTTGCTTTGCTTTTGGAGAAAGCGCAGCCAAAGCTTCAAAGACCTTCTCGTCACATCTTGGGATGATCTTGGAATCTCCAAAATACTTGTAATTTCCGCAATTACCAAGAAACTATGGAAGATTAGATCTGTATTCTGAATCTCGTCCTATTTGTCTTATTGTACTCACTTGACCACAATACTCGAGGAAGAATTTCAAATCTCCATCACTAATCCCAGCTTTCTTTTGAGCGGAACTCCAGTTACCATCAAAAGACTTGTGAAGTTCAACGATAAAATCGTAGATGTCTTCGGACTCTGGTGAAACTTGTCTTAAAGTGATACGTGTGCCATGAACGGATGCTCTGTCGTGTAATGTCAACCGACGTTCTTGCAACCGATTCACATACTTCGAGCTAACGCCAAGCATCCAGATAAACTTTGTATCCATAATGAATTTGCGCGCGGTTGAAGCTCTTCCAATCCCCGAAATTCAAACATACCTGCTAATATAATGAGCATATCTTTTTTCTTTATCAGAAAGCGCCTCAAAATGCTTTTTAATCTCAAGCTGAACGACGCTAGGGGGGGAATCCGCAAGAAAGTGTTTGAGTTCCTGAGCATTCATTGTAGAGAATTTTCGTTGGAATTGTTGTATTTTATGGAATGAAGATGGTATCAGAAGATGTTGAGAAAAAGATCTGGTGTTGAAATGGCGGGGAAGGCAAGGGCGATGAGGCTGACGTGGGGTGAAACAATGAGCCAATGAATATGCATGTTTCAAGCGCCCCGGAAAACATTTGGACATTCTCAAGTGGTGTTTTCTCTAAGTATAGGTTTCTTATACGATATGCATGCTACGAAGAATTTACTCAACTTTTGTATGGAGAGATCATTGGCAGCAATTATGATAGGTAGATATTTTATACTCACACGGACCACACGTGAGACGGCCCTAATGAGTGAGTTTCAAGGATGTAGGAAAACAACAGAGGTATTTGATTGAATAAGTGTGTAGGTATGCTCCGCGGGTGTACAAGAATGGTTGTTGCGATTCTTGCCGAGATATTCTGTGATCCGCCTGGAAGAAATGATACTCTCGTCAAACAGGTGCAAGATATTTGGTTGGACAAGAATCATATCATGACAATACCCTTGGTCGCTCATTCATAGACCAGAATAGTATAGAATGAGGGTACCGATCACAAGCTTCGAGTGCCTTCAATTGCCTTCAATTGGAGCTTGTAGGTTGATGATAAGATTTTCTAGTAGTCCTTAACTCATACTATGAGTCCAGCAGTCGATGATATCCAAGTTTGGTCCAGGAGAATAGTCGTGAGAGATGCAACTGAGATCTATAGAAATGACTTTTTTGCTGTGGTCCTGACAGTAATGTCCTAGTTAGAATTCACCCAACGAACCTTTCTCGTTTCTAGTTGATCCTTATTAGTGTTTTAATGTTTTCCATCGTTAATGTAAAGTCCTTGCATGGAGTGAAGCAGTAAAGCTCGATCTGGAGTGTAATTTTCCTGTTCACGTGATCTAGAAAAGTTCTTGCCATTTTCGGTCCTTCGTTAGCGAAATTTTAGCGTCTCCCACAACAATTTTGATTTTCCGCGATCTTGAACTTCTTACCTAGACGACGGCCAGTAAATTACACCTTTTCGCCATTTACGACATTCGACAAATCGGCCAAGATGAAGTACATTCATTCCGAAGAGACTCTGACCATCCCAGAGGGTGGTAAGTACGGTGTTTCTTATTTTTGGATCGTTGAAATCGGCAGAGGAGAAGATTGAATTCAAGCTCGAGGGAATTGGTGAAGCGCATTGAGGAACACTGGATGGAATCTTTTTGCAGATGAGGAACGAATGCTGATCGATTTAATTGAATAGTCAAGGTCGCCATCAAATCCCGTCAAGTTACCGTTGAGGGACCAAGAGGTAATTTACAATTCCTACACACCAATCGACAGTCAACCAGATCGCAAATCTAATACATTCGAAATAGGCAAACTCCACAAGGATCTTAGCCATTTGGCAGTCAACTTCTCCCAGCCAAAGAAGGATGTCATCAAGATCGAGCTTCACCACGGAGCCCGCAAGAACGTCGCTACTCTCCGAACCGTCCGTACTCTCATCAACAACTTGATCATCGGTGTTACCAAGGGTTTCAAATACAAGATGAGATATGTCTACGCACATTTCCCAATTAACGTCAACGTTGAGAAGGGACCAGAGGATATCCCAGTTGTTGAGATCAGGTATGATGGTCCACAAAGAAAGAGATTCTGGCTGGAAGAAGGAAATGCTGATTATTTGGGAATAGAAACTTCATCGGCGAGAAGATCGTCCGTAAGGTTCAAATGAGAGAAGGTGTTGCTGTCGAGCCATCGAAGAACGTCAAGGATGAGCTTCAATTGTCTGGTAACTCCCTTGAGGATGTTTCCCAATGCGCCGCCGATATCCAACAAATCTGCAGAGTACGAAACAAGGATATCCGAAAGGTGGGCACAAAAATTCTTATCCGTTAGCATTCTTTATACTAACAACCTAATAGTTTTTGGACGGTTTGTATGTCTCAGAGAAGGGTAACATTGTTGAGGAATAAATGGAAGGCATTTGTGGTGGTCACCTTTTCTTACATTCATGATATGTATTGGGAGCATTAAATGGGTTACTTTGCATATTGTGTAGCAAGGTGCTCGGAATGAATATCTTGCGCAACCAAACAACTACCTGCGGTTCCAAACTTTGAAACGATCGATACCACGGTGACCTGGATTGTAATGATGGACAATTTGGTAGAAGGGCGTGCCAGTGCAACGATTTGGGGAGAGCTTTTGAGGAATCAATGAACCAATTATGGACCCTTTCGAATATCATGGCATAATGTTTCAGGTCTGATTTTTTGCAAATGATGGAATATCTGACAGTGCAATTTACAGGCCTAGTAATTTTTCAGTTCACTTCCATCCCCATACAGAGGCACCACCACTACTAAACTCGACCAATCCTACCAATTCAATAGGATTATCGGCTATATCACCCTTCATAGCACTCCCAGCTATCCTCTCCACATTCATTCCTCGTCTCGTTTTCATCCACTCTATCCCCTTTTGCCAGTCCATGTCTTTTCAGTTCCCTATACTACGGCCATTTCTGTTATTTCTGTTTCATACTTTTGACATGCCCATGTACCTCTCGCCGTTTCCTTTCCCGCCTCCGTTTTCCATCATACAATCGGGATCTCAAAAGTAGACTTTATAGAAGTATTTCTCCTACTCTATTCGGTCAGTCTTGATCCCTATATCAATACACACTCTTTGTTCTTCATGGATGAGGAGGCACGATTTCACTATTTATGTTTTCTACAGATTTGTGTGGAGGAAATTTCAAGGATCGTGTGGACATTTCGATGAGGTAAAATGCATATCTTAGGCTGAGCGGTATATATTTGAAGGAGTGTATGAAGGTTTAGTGGGTGCAAAGTAGGGGCAAAAGTTGCCGGATTACATGATTCAAAGAATGAGAGATACCAATAAACTTATTTGATCAATTCATTCTTTATGCTTCTACCGTTTGAATTATTTTAAAGGGTGTTGATGAATTAGACTCGAATGTCATACAATCTGTATTCTTTAACCTTTCTTGCTCCTTTCTCTGACTTCATGGTTCGGGTTCCTATGAACACTTTTATGCTTAACCGTTTGATGAGGTGAGGTCAATCATCATCGTGAAACCAACCGCCTTACTTATTATCTCATTAGTGATAGACGCATAATATACTACACTCCCGAGGTTGTGCATTATCACTACACTATTCAGTAGTACAGATAAGTAGTAAAATCACCACCACCGCTCCATGCTTCTACACAGTAACATACACACATAGTTGCCTTTGTTCTTGCGTATACGCTGCTTTCGTATATCTAGGTACCTGTTGATATATGTACAAAATTACTTATTCAGTACCCAATATTCAATATTCAAATCCTTCAGCATCACCCTCTTTTACACTTATTTTCTTTCTTTTTTGGGTTAATACTTAGGCAATTGAATTGTATGGCGATATTTTTTCTCCGCTTCAAGTTCCGAATTTCGAATCTCGTCGGGAACATTTCGTCTCGTTTCGTCTCGTCTCGTCATATCTCAGTGGAGGATGTGGACGAGAAGGTGGAGGAGAACGAGAAATGAAATCACAGCCCCCCTATCTGATTCGATACATTGAGTCTCTCGTCAGTTGTAGAGTATAATAGGATTGAGTGTTTGTGAATACTATTACTATTTTTGCTATCTTTATAATTCTCATGGTTGTATGTATGTATGTATCTATTTACAAGATACACTCGTTTCGTTTCACATCATTCGACATCATATCATCAATCCCTTTTTCACTCTCTCTTTCTTTCTCGGTAACATATCGTCTTGATTATAGGGTCCTATCATTATAACTCCTCTCTCTCTCTCTCTCTCGCTCGTCAATATAGAAAACTCCCCATCCTATTATATTCCATGTCATTATATTCCATCCTGTTTTATGCTAGGCTGTCAAATATCGATATTATCAATTATATGTATAAAGGGCGTTAATAATATCGTTCTTCCATATTTATCCGCAGTTATCATATTTATCCACATCTATTTGTATGTGAGTGATACTGATCGCTTGGAGCTATTTATGTGTGTTTATATGGATGTTTGTATACATATGGATGTTTATATGCGCATACGTATGGAGAGAGGTGTTGGTATGAGAGAATGAGAGAATGAGAGAATACATTTTAGTTTTTAGATTCTAGATTCATGGTGCACTATATTTTCCATCCTTCTTTCCTAGCCTCTTCCTTGATTTCCTTGATACTTGTCGGAACTTCTTGAGCCAGCTTTTGCGGCAACAAAAGATTGAAGGGGGTAAGAGGTTGGAAGTTGAGAGAGGGCTACTTCCTATAGATAGGTATGTATGACTAGAGATTGGGATAGAAATGGGGATGGGGATATGAATGGGATTTGGGATTGGGGTAGAGAGTGTAGTTATATATTCTGGGTGGTTTAATCGAGAAGTATATCTAGGTACCTCATATCTATCGATACCGAGGAGATAGATGACTATTGGTAGGAGTTCAATGGTTGTTTTTGAGGGGGAAATCAGAAGGGGAGGGGAAAGGAGGAGAGGAGAGGGGAGTCTATTTGTGATATTTTTTCTCTACTGAGAAAAAGGGAAAGAAGGATGAATAGTTGAGAATGAATATTTAAATGTATATCTAACCATCTCCCATTATCGTTCGTCATATTTGCATCGACATGTTGTATAATTACATCACATCAATCCAGCACATCGCTACCGACGTGAACGAAGCAAAGAATTCAGAAGCGACGCAAAGGCAACAAACAAACAAACAGCATATTTCACAAATTCGCAGAACATGAAGACGTTGAGTAAATTTTAAACATGGGTTTTTTATTCGTAGAAGCCGCTGTATGCATACATTTACTCAATGTATATGCACGTATGTATGCAAGTGTGTATGTATGTATAACCCTCCCCCTTCTCACACACATCCATTCATTCAATCATTCCATAGGTGGCCACCCAACCTCCAAAACCATTATCCGTTCCGCTCATCACACTTTCATTAACCCAACCTTTCCTCTTTACCATCCAACCAGTTCATTTCATGTCCCCTTTCCTCATTCATCCCTTCATACAAAAGTCGTAAAAATACAAAAGCACCCGATACCCTCATCTCATCTCGTGTAAACTATGTACGCATGCCTGCTCAAATTGGTATAAACGCTTTCAAGCTTTCGTAACATATAGCAAGCAAGCAGTATTGAAGTTTGCGAGGTAAACCGAGCCACCCACCCACCCATTCATTCATCATTCCTCATGCATATTCCATCTCTTCTTCCTCTTCCTTGTTCTTTTGGTGTGAAAGAAAAGAAACGCAGGAAAGGAAATGAAATGCAAAAAAGGAAAAGGAAAATTATAAACAAAAAATAAAACAAATAACGCCAGAGAAATGAGTCAAATCGCTAATGCCTGCCGGAAAAATCTCTCGAATCTCTTAAATTCGTGTTTTTCATTCATGTGTATGTTTTTTTTGTTGGTGCTGTCTTTGTGCTGTTTTTGATATGTGAGAGGGTGGATAATCTCGTGTGTATGTGTGAGATGATCCCCAAATAAATCGAGATGGTCTAGTGAGAATAGACTAGATCGTCAAAGATAAGATAGGAAATGAGAATTATCTCCTCACGCTCCTATCTCTATCTCTCCTCGTATCCTCTCTCGTTCTCCTATCCGAGCTTGCGGAACCTGCGATTGTATGTTAGTCGTCATTCTCCACATTTCCATACCCCACGACCAAAGCGCCGAAGGAAAGAAAATTACTTACTAGCACTCGTTCCCGTGTAACTATCAGTATAATAAGTACTGCTAATATCCGTCACCGTCGCCGTAGGACCCGGTCTCCTCTTCTCATCCCTCCTCTCAGCCTCCTTCTTCCTCAATCCCAACACCGCCGCCAACCCTACCAATCCCGCACCCACGGCACCCATTCCCCCCATGCCACTACTCTGCTTCTTCCTCGTCTCTACAACTCTCGTTGGCTTATCTGTTCGCGCGCCTCCAAACCATCCATTATTTTCTCTACGAGCTCCGGCAGCACCTCCCATTGCTGCTCCTCCAGCCGTAGATCCATGTCTGTGATAACGCTCTACGGTCTCGATACGCTCGGTACGAGTACCACCTTCGCGTCTCCGGGATTTACCACCGAAGAGTGCGAGAACGGAATCCCAGAGTCCCTTGACAATACAGCAGAAACACAAGAGGAGCAAGAGAATAACTCCGAGAATCGTACCGATGACAATTCCTGCAATAGCGCCTCCGCTCAAATTGTTCGAGCTAGTGCTCGTGATGGGCAAGGTGCTTCCGCTTGCAGTAGCTGGAGGGATAAAGGGCTCGGTAGTCGTGGCTGAGACGGTAGCAGTAGACGTTGCGGCACCTGTTGGACGAACAGGAGCGGAGTAGGTACCAGAAGTAGCAGTGTAGGACCAGAGACTTGTTCTAGCAGTACATTGTCCACTGTATTCACACATCTGATCGCTGGCACAACAGATTGTTCCGCAGGAAGTTTCGCCCGAGCTGGTATCGCAAATGGCGGCGCTGCCTCCGGAGGTGGTAGTGGCGTAGTAGGAACTGTATGTGCTTGTTCCGACCAATAAATCGGTTTCGGTGTAGGTGGTTGTGTAGACCGCCCAGCCACCGGAGCCGGCAGTAGAGGCAGAACAGTAAGCTACATTTCCTGCGGAAGTGTAGCAGGCTTGGCCAGCGGTACAACAATATTGGTTGTCGGCGCCGCAGTAGGAAACGCAAGAGCGGTCCATAAGGTATGAGAAACCGAGATCGTGAATATCATCTTTAGGGAAGGGACCTGCGGACACTGGAGAGGTATTGGAGAGGGTGAGGAGGAGAAGTGAGAGGAGTTGCGGGTTGCCTTTGGAGATCCGCATTTTGTCGACTGTGGGGTGTTGTGATTGTGTGATGGGGGAAGTCGAAGCTATGTATGTATATGAATATTGTCGGAGTAGTGAACTCGAACCAAACGATTGTACAACGCCAAAAGATGGGTATGTATCAAATCAGTCTCTCAACGGATTGAGAATCTTTTTTTAATTTTTACTTTTCCACCAGCAAAAAGATCTTCAGGAACTCAATGACTCCTTCACATGCAGCAGCGGTGTGAAGTAAAATAGCTCGACGATAAATGGCCAATCCAAAGGATGCAAACCCCACTTTCGTCGACACTACCACTTGTATGAGATATGTATGTTACTTTGTATATGCTCGGATGGCAAGAAAGGTCGTTTCTATCCAAACGAATGTGAATATGTATGTCTAGAAAGTCTTATCTCCCGAAATGATTGATATTGATCAAGGTGGTAGGTATGGTATGGTATGGTATGGTATGGTATATCTCTGGAATGGAAAAGAGAAGGAACTGTAACAGAAGCAGTGGTGAGTGTGAGTGTGAGTGTGACTGTGGGTGTGGAATACCACTTATTCAAAAATGTCGATGGCTGAACTTTTTTTTTTTTTCCCTTTGGCTTTAAGGGAAAGGGAAAAAAATAGCTGGGCTGGGAATGGAGTTAATTGACCGTTTTCCCAACCACCCAAATTTTCCCTACCAAGGACTAAAAAAGAAGGACCAAGGCGAATTTCGTATTTTCTTGATTTCGTACACACGTACAGTACAGTACTGGTTTGAAATTGAATGGAGATCTGATCAGATCTGATTCAAGTGAAATGTAATTATGAAGTTTTTTTCTGTAGAAATTATTATGGAGGATTGAATTGAATCGAATTGAATTGAATTGATTGGTGAAGATTGAATCTTTATTACGATAGATGTTCTACTCCATCGTCGCTCCATTCATCAGTAAGGTACCTGCAGCTGTTCGGGTAAAAAAGATACCTACACACGCTACAGTACATACATACATACATACATCCATACATACATACATACATCCATCCATCCATACATCCATACATCCATACATCCATACATACATACATCCATCCATACATCCATACATCCATACATCCATCCATACATCCATACAATTGTTTACGTTTATCGCTAGCGGGGCAACAATCAGGCGATAAGCAACTAAATTTGGGTCCATTTGATCACAATTAGGCCCAAAATGGGAATCAAAGAGCGGTTAATGACCTCGAGAGTCGAGACGATACTCACCACGGTCAGTATTGTATCAAAGCTTTCAAAAATCATGTCTATTTGTCTAATATCCTTTGGAGTTAGAGAAGTAAGAGAGGAACCATCATCAATTTTACTATACATCTAATTCTCCCCCATTCAATTTTGGATGGAGAAGGAGGTACATATTGTAGGTGAAGTATTTCACCTAGAGATAGCAAAATGAAGCTCACCGAATAGAAAATCCTCACTCTACTCAAGACTCCTTCACCTTCCTAATCCACTTTTGACACCTTGATACGTTGATAACCCCACAAGATTACACACCGATACCCGAACCGATGGCGTTACCACAGGTCAGTCAGGTACATACAGTACTGTACCTGCTTTTTTATCTTCTAAGCCTACTCTATTTTGAGATTTAATCTACGAAACATTTTCATTCCTTGGAAGTTGGAATCTAGAGTCTAAACTTTCTTCTTCTTCTTCTTCTCCTTCTTCTTCTTCCTGTTTCGGGAAATTTCCCTCGCCATCCGAAAGAATAAATCTAGCACAAATGCACGACGCAATACGCACAATCAAAGAACCCCCCGACGGGTCAAAATCCCACTCACTCACTCAACGGAAATCCACTCAATCCAAATCCTGACGCCATCATCATCATCATCATCATCATCATCATCGAGATGTGAAACACAGTCTCGACTCTTGCCTCTCGAGTCCCTGCATCAACCAACAGATGACATGATGGACTTTGACAACAAGTACCAAATCGGATAACTACTCTAGTACTCGGTCTATAAGTCTTATATGCAAGACGCTACTTCCGTAAGATCAAACGTTGTGTCGCTTGAGATGTGGATACTTGCCACGTCTGCCGATGCTCGAAGATTCTGACCGGGCAATCATGAATGAATAAATGAACGAGAGTGAGTCGTTGGGCGAAAGAGTATGCAAACCTCATCTGAAGATTCATGGGATTAAGAGAAATGTCTGGTTCAATGGCGGTACAAGTGTACTTGTATTTATTTTGTACAGCGTGTTGTGTATCGACTCAGTCAACGTGGCTCTAACATGTGCTTCTTCAAACCGAAGTACGGAAAGCGAAAGTACGGAGATGAAAAGGAATCTCGACATAATTCCTATGTTCATATTCATACATTCGTACTCCAATTTCTGCTTTCATGATAGTCAAAACATGCCCACCTCTTGTTCCGTTCGCACTTTTTTGCCCTTTTCTCTTGGGTCATAATGAAGACTAACATTGAAATCCTTTTCGTCTGATCATTCCAGGTCAGTTCTCGCCACATCATGTAGAATGAATATTGCGAATCCCTTGAGAAAAATGTGAAACTATCACAGTTAAATTTTCAAAACTCTTGAGGAACATATGCAAGCATCGATTGATGAAGGAGAGCAACTTTGATATTCTGTTCTAGTCCGAGTCTCGAGGGGCAACCCACCATTCGTCTCATGATGCATTCCTGTCTACATTCCCTTCGATAATTGCTTCAACATGAGTATCAGATACGAAAACTTTCTCGAAAGATCTCCCAGTTCTGAGATATTCAAGAAATGAAGTCGAGATAATCTTTTGACTAGAGGTTATTTCTACGCTAAGTTTAGTTAGTGTTAGGAGCTGCTAAAGGAAACTACCCCTCTTGCTCATTCTTTCTTCATTAAAAGCATATATATGCAAAACCTTGCATGTTCTAAACATTCCTGGGTTAGATCTCAGTCATTCCAATCGTACTAGATTTGTTACTTTGATTACATAGTATCTCGACATTTACGTCTTTCACGCCATAATTTACAAGAATAAGTTATCGAATAAAGTTACTCAAGTACAATATCCTTCCATCCCTCGAAAACATTCAATGGTCTTTTCCGTCGCTTCATGGCTTCCCACACACTTTCCTCAAAGGGTAGGTTGATGAAACCCCAATTTCCTGCACTGAACAATGGTTTTGGCATCAGCTATTCTTAAAGTCCATGAAGTCAATGAGCACCGCCGATGCTCCAATATCCATATTTCATCCACTCAATGTACCTGTGTTCCTTCCTGTATAGATCGACGGTCTAAGTAGTCTAGTATCTGCCTGCCATAGATTCAATCTCGATAGTATAGTCCAGCAAACGGTATAATTCCTCCCTTTGAATCAACTTATCCAGATGGTTTTTTCAATCGTTTCGAGGGTTTCATGCTAGATTTTGTCCCGGGTAGTATCGATGGTACGAATGGAATCAATACTGAACAAATATTTGGTAGATATGCTGAGGCGACTGCTATATTTAGTTCCTCTGCCATCACGTGTCTCATGAAATGTTCAATGCATTGGTAATGAATGATTCCCTGTGGTGAACCCTATCATAATTCGGTCTGTAAGTTTGTTGATGTGGTGAAGTACCGCGGGTTTTGGAACCTGAGAAATGCGAGGGGTGGGAATGGATTGGTTGGGATAAGTTGAAAGGATGGGCTGAGAGAAATGGGGTGGTTCGTGATGATCATGCAGTTCAGAAGAAACTATTTGCACCTTTTTTTAATTTGTTGGACCAGCGTCCTGATGTAGTTCCTGGTAGTGGATAGAGTTCCTTGCTGCATGTAAATTGGGGCGATAATAGATATACACATGCTCTCTAGTTCAATGCGCAGTCATGAAATCAAAGGTAAATTGGTGCATTGTTGTTCAGTATGTAAAGATATTTCGTATGACATCTGTTGCGGATTGTGATATTTGAGGTGTTGTGCGTTCCTATGAAGGATGCTGAAGCAGACAATGTATTCGCCTTCCACCATCACAAAGAGCGCTAGCTTCTTACTTGAAGGAGAGGATGAGGACGACGATAACAGTTTACGACAACGGGGAGATCTTTCCAGAGAAGTCCTTTCATCATTACTTCAGCTAACATCTTCTTGCAGATCGGTTACTCAAAATTGCGGAGAAGTTGCTGTGGATCTTGACATTGATGCAAATTTCCGATATCTGTAACTTGAGTTGTTCACAACTATGTAATGACTACTTGGTAGTATAATATCTCTATACATGTATTGAAAACAACCGTTGCTGCGATCAACATGACGTTTATGGCGTTCCGCAGGTAAGCTGCTTCGGTAACTATCAGGTTTTACAAAGGCGCTATGTCATGTCCTTGTGTACAGAGTGCAATATACAGTGTACGAGTTCACCCCACTCTATCAAGAAATCATCTAGGAGGCCCTTGATTATGATTGAACTGTTGTGCTCCACTGTTTGTGTGTACTAAATTACTGTATTCAGCATCTACTTCTCCCTTATTCACTCTACATCCAGTAACAATGCCCATTGATCGGCAATTTCCACAGTCAAGATATCTTTTGCTATAGAGTTAAATTATCAACGTGGTACACGTTAAACGAAGTTCAATTCTACAAGAATTTGGTTCATGCTCGTGTTGATTCTCTCTCTTCTATTCAGAGATCCATTCTACCTACCTACCTCTAGCTCTAAAACTCTATTCTTCTATCTCTTCTCCCAATTCATCGATTATATAAATTTGCCAGCAATATGGAGAGCAAACTTAATTCTCAACATCCAGAGCTCCTTCCAGTATGTACAGCAGTCGGATAGACTGTAAATTTGTTTCTACAAGGTAAGCTTTACTTCGTTCTATGCCTGCACAGCATCTTCTAAAAACTACTCAATTCAGGTGTTGATCCTTTTGATCTTTCCACAACACTGGAGTCAGATCGAAATACAACTTCTTAAAACGCGCTGAGCCGGGAAAGGAATTCCAGCCACCGGGTTCCAAGACGAAATATTGGCTACTCAAGAATTTCGAGCAACACTCCACGGGATCCAAATCAGTGACCCGTAGTCTCATCTGCCGTTTTGGAACAGAACTCGCCAGTGATTTCAAAATCGATACAAGAGTAACCGCTAATTATGCCGGAGTCTCTGCCGAAGGTGGCGCAGGGTGCGAGTACGGTACAGATTTCAAATCAACAAGTTTGTATGGAATCTACAGTCTTGACCAGGAGATTTACTCCATCAGTGTAGTTAATAAGCAGATGACCTATGATTCAGTAGAAGACGAGTTCATCAGTACCGCTGCCAAGCTCCCGACCTGGAAGTTAATATTCAAGGATCTCAAGGATTTCGATGAAGTAACCGGTATCTACAATGCGTTTGCCAAATTCTATTCCAGATACGGATCTCATTTGATACAAGAAGGCTATATGGGCACACGATACCAGCTCAAAGTAGAGCAGAAAGGAATAGCTCAAGAAAGGAGGGAGAAGTTCTCAACGAACATAAAGGTCGAGTATCAAGGTGTGGTTGGACGATATATCAGTGTCGATGTCAAGAAGTCGGAGTCGTATAAGCTGCCTGGAGGAAGCTATTGGCGACAGAAATTTACCACAAAGGTATCAATCATACTGATAGCATGGAGTTAGGGTCAGCCGCAGCGCATATGCTTGGCCCGAAATAGTCGGAATCGTGCTAATCCATCGCTTAAACTCAACGATCCAACTAACTGCAAGGACGGATAGAGTATACAATGAACGAGAAATTGCTGAGCACTTGCTGACCAATCGACCGATTCTAATGATCGAAGACAAACAAATAGACTGGTCATGTCGATTGAATAAAACTAGGTTACTTCAGTAGGACTGCTCATGCGGTGAACTGAGAGTAGTTCTAAGAGAGGGAGACGATCATGTGCTTCATGGAAACCAAATATTTGTACAGTGCTTTACCTGGAGTCCAGGATCGGATTTAGCGTACTATCTACTCGGAAACCATGTATGGCATGGTCGCTGTTAATGCCATATTCGAAAGTTTCCACCAAATAATCGTTGCAGAGTGCGAAGCCCCGAACATCAACCTTTAGATCGGATCTGAACTACATACGCAGAACGTATATAATCTGATCTCGTAATGGCCCACTGCGAAATACTTTGATCCACCCGGTATGCAATTCGAACATCATATAAAGTCCTTCCTCTCGGCAAGCACGGCTTACTGGCGTGGTGCATAAATCACAGATCTCGACAAGAAACACTACCGTTCACCTCTTCATCCACAAACCGACTCAGACTTTGGAGCTTGAAGTTCTTGATACTTCACCCACCGGTCATAATTGAATTGATGAAAGTGGAAGACGTTGAAATTGATAGTTGACTGACGATCGAAATTCGTGATAGACTCCCTAGTACAAAATTTGAGGAGCTTGATGACCGAAAGAATGGACGTTAAAAATATCTCTTGTTACTATGAAAGATTGTTTCAGTAAAAGCAACCAATAGGTTGTCGAAATGAAAGTTTCGGATAATGCCAACTGCCGTCAATGTAATCGAAACGCGGAAATGTGAATTGTGTTGCATCGCCTCCCAAGCTATACTGCTACACGTGATCTCTGTAGAATTGCCAGCAAAATAACCACGTGCCAACAATCATCGTCGAGCATGCAACGCCATGTCTATGCAAAGAAATAGTGACCGCTGTGATCTCCTGTCCGCATTGTGCTATTTTATACCATGCTCTTCACTGAGTGTGAGGTCCCGGTAGCTACGTCCAATTCGCGATCACCACAATTGGCACAAATGTTTCGCTCTGGTAAGGTTAGTTAACTAATTGGTACATGATGGAAGTACATGCATGACTCGAGTCTTTTTAGACCATATCAATATATATCCCGAACCTTTTCAAAGAATCCCAGTCTCATAAATCACACTCCACAAAAAGACCCCTTCAACCATCTCGCCTAGGTATCCTCATCCAACAATTGTAGACGTGCAACAAACTAACCTGCTTAGTAATATGTCCAACCCAACTAATAAAACTTCAAAGTTCACTCTCCCACTCAACCCCTCCAATACTCTCATCTCAAACCTCCAAAAAAACATCTCCAAATCTCCAAAACAAAATCGACCAGAATGGGACTCGAACCCACAACCTTTGCCACCGGAAAGCAATGCGCTACCATTGCGCCATCTGGCCTTTCTGACTAATCAGTAAGGGTAGTTATGAAAATATATAAACACATTCTGTACCGTACCCCACCGTCGGAATTTCTTCGCGCCTGAGAATATGATCAAATCTCGCGGCTACGGTATATATTATCTCCCGCTGATTTGAAGTATGCATACGAATATTTGCTGCCGGATTAAATTAGATAGGTCTGCATCTGTATGCAAGCTTCTGATATTGATCAATACGAGACATCTTCATACTTCCTACTTGAGATGCAAATTTTCTCTCTAGAAAAAGAATTTTTATCGCGGGACAAATGCACGTGATCTACTTAGCACAAGAGCTTAGGCCAACCTCTTTGTCCGTGAAAAAAAAGTTGACGGGATTGAGTTCTTCAACTCTATTGGAATTATAAATCATCTAGCAATTATATCAATAAGGTCCAGCTATCTAAACATAAACTCAGCTTTTGCTTAATTCTGCAGTTAAGAGGGTGATATCTATATGTGTGTATAAAGTAACAATCTGGATAAAGGCCTTTCAATTATGTTCAATTCCAGCCAGCCATTTAGTTCGCTAATGGAGAGCCACCCTTGAATCATCGCTACACTTCTAATCATCACATGTATGCTCTATCTGCTCTTTGCAAAAGTCTCTTTTTGCCAGAGGATTCCGTATATCTCAACCTTCTACATCCCACCTCTCATGGCACATGCGCTCTCCAATCCGCTATCAAAACCACGAAGAACTCCACTCCACCCCCACCATAAAATACATCCATCCCACTCCGATACTCCATCCATTCTATCCACTCCACCCAAAAATACTCTCTCTCCACTCCCTCTCATCCTTCACCACCGCCAACCAAATACAAACCTCCCATCCCTTCCATTCCCCCTCATATACTCTCCCAAAACCCAAGGCCCAAAAAATCAATCTCGACGTCGGCATGATTCGAACATGCGCCCCCGAAAGGAATTGATATCGTATCCTGACCTCACATCACTGAAATCTAATGACTCCAGAGAAAGTTGAAGCTTAATTCGAGTCAATCACGTTAACCACTCCGTCACGACGCCTATTTGCTGACTAATTCATAAAGTAATTTTCGGTGGGATTCGGTATATATACCTAGAATTTTGATACTGATGGGGACGGTTGGGAAGATAGGTACTTGTCGAGGTATGAATTGTGTTCCTCTATTTCTGCTATTGTTGTGGGGGTAAATGGTGGTAGATTAATAAAAGAAATATAAAAGAAATCCATGCAAGTGAAAACATGTGTATGATTGTGAAGATGTTAATACATTGTATTGAACTCTTCTCGTCGTTAACTTTTAAGTAATCCATACCCACCCCCTACCGAATCGAGCCTCATAATCTTCATCAACTGACACACTGGAAAATCCCAGTGCCATCTCTATCTATAGACATTAATACAATTTTAATCATAACCACTTCTTCATCAATATCACCACCATAACCACTACATTGATCTCCTCTTCCCTTCTAGATATCATGTCTTGCCCTCTTACTCTTCATTCTAATCTTCTCACCCCATTTATACAAAATAAACGGAATCGGTATAAACGCGACACTAATAAATGCCAGAGTGGAACTCGCCCACGGCACTCCCAGATTCTTAAACATGGCATTAGCAAAGAGCGGGAAACCGGCGCCGAAACACGAGCGCATGAAATCGTTTCCTGCAAATGCTGATGCTGCCACTTTGGGATATGCATCGCCGATGTAGTTGAGGACTGAGTTGAAGAGGAGGAAGGCACCGATGGAGAAAAAGGCTGAGCCGATGATGGGGACGATCCACTGGGTTGGGTCAGTTTATTTCTAGGGAGTATGATGAGAAAAAAGGAGAGGAAACATACGTGAATACTTTCTTTACTTGTCCATCCAAACCAGAACAAGCAGATAGGAATGCAAAAGGCTCCTACAAAAGCCGGTTGCAATCTGATCTCAGGTTTGATATTGCCACTCTCATCAAACCTTGGTTCTTGAAATTTGTATAGATACAAGAAAAATGGCGGGATAACCACAAGGGATCCGACGAAGATACCAAGGAAAGCCAATCCCTCCAACCCCAAACTAAAGCCGTGAATCTCGACAAACACAATGGCGAACGATTCGAACCAAACGTATAGAAGACCGTAAATGAGTGCAATGTAGAGATTGAGGCAGAAAAGAATGGGTTCTGAGAAGGTGAGTGAGAATGGGAGGATGAGCGCCATGTTGATTTTGTCTTCGGTAGTCATTTCATCGGCCTCGAGTTCCGGTTCGGATTTGAGATTATCAACACCGCTGGACTTTTCGAGACGTCGACGTCGACGATACAGGATATTGGCGGAGCTGGTCTCAGGCAAGAGGAGGATTAAGACGATCAGTGCGAATCCTGAAAAAATTATTAGTATCAGCCTATCCAGAGAAATGTGCCCAGTGATCTTGATCGTCGAACGCAGACGGGACTATGACATCCAGAATGTATCAACTTTTCAAGAGATTGATTGAACTCACCAGATAACCATGTTAATTCCCAGATAGTCCAAGTCCAACCTTTGCTTTCCACGGCAAAACCTCCAACCAAAGGACCCAGCTAATAAATTTGTCAGTATTGATAATTTTAGAGGGAGCGATCGAAACAGAAAACTTACCACAGGACCGGACACAGCAGCCATACCCCAGATTCCAATTGCGTAAGCTCTCTTTTTTGGCGCATACATATCAGCTAACGAGGCACCACCAGTAGCCAATACCGGCGAACCAAAGAATCCAGTCAAGAATCGGAAGATGAGCAACATAGCGAAGTTCTTCGCATATATGACACCGAATTGGAAAACCACAAATACAACCAGCGTACCAATATAAACGGGATTCCGCCCAATCTGAGGTATCTCACTCATGGGAGACCAGATCATGGGTCCTAGACCATAGCCGGCAACGAACAGAGTGAGACCAGCTGTCGCGGCAACTTGACTGACTCCAAATTGTTTCATCACATCTGTGATACCTGCGGAGTATATAGCCGATCCAATGTAGACAGAGAAAGTCAGTAAACAGATGAGGAAAGTAACGAAGAACTTTTTTCCCGTCGTCCAGTTTTGTGGGTTCTGTTGTTTAAAATTAGTCAACGTTACAAGAGAAATGTAGACTGCATATTGAAAGTGCATGAGATATCTCCAAGGGCTCCAACAACATACCTCTGAATCGAGAGCTCCCTCTGTTTGATCCCAATCAATAATTTGAACATCTTTCCCTCCATTATCCGTTCTCACAGTATGTTCATTTGCCACTCTCGTGCTGTCTGAACCTAGTGTCGTATTTGAAGGCCTACCTCCCTGCCTTCGATCTCTCTGTTGATCCGCATTATCAATTTCCTTATCTTCTTCAGACGCTTCCTCCTCCTCAGATTCCTCGCAAGTGCCGTGATGCCTCACGTTCTGAGTCTTCCGTACATTTAAATATCTTCGCCATGTGTCTGGATTCCCCTTTTCACTGTCTGCAAATGCGTCTTGCTCCTCTGGATATTTCAGGAATTTGTCCCCTGACAATAGACGTAAAAATTTTCCAGCCGTTGCATCTCGAAAAAGTTCCCTCATTCTAACTGTTCGATGCCAATCGAGAGAATAGAAACTATCGTGTCAAATCGATTTGGTGTCCAAAAAAATATGTGAATATTCTTGAAACAAAGGGACTTTTTGACTATCAAGAATGGAGGCAGAAGACTATCAACAGTATAACAAGCAAGAAGTATGTCAAAGCATGAGCATAGAATGGGTATATATGGAGAATAGAAATAAATAGTGAGCAGGCAAATACATATATAAATGCTTCAACAGCCGGACATATTACTTCTCCATTGAGCTTGATTCCAAGTGCACTCTTCTCGGCCTTTCTCAACAGTCCATATGATATCATACTTTCTATCAATAAACGCATCAGTCTACTAGATAAATCTAGCTCCTCTTACCTCAATGCTCATACAGCGAGACTCGGCCTTTTCACGAGTGGAATCTACCCTTTTCGAATCAAATCCAAAATGCGTAAATCCGAGATCCAAAATGCATACCAAAAAGTCCACTGCAGATGCTCGAATCAGCAGTATTGCAACACCTCCGGACATGTTTGTCCGGAAGAATAAAGCTTTAACCATACATCATTCAATCTGACAAACCAATCGACTTGATGTCGATTTGTCCTATTCTCTCGATACCCATCAAAAAATAGATGGGCAACGTATAAGTATGCACGATGAATCAATGCCGATCATAGGGGAAAGCTTAAGAAAAACCCAATCACTGACGTAGATGACTTTTTTTTCTTGTGCAAAACTCTTGATTGGCGCTAGCCAACGTCTGAGCACAATGACTGAATGCATCACTACCTAGTAGGCACACATAATAATTCTCCAGACTCCGCACGGGATTGCGAAAATCGATGAGAGATGATGGTTCACGAAACTTCACAGTCTCGATTTCATCTATCTGATTATCAATTTTTCAGTCCCTAAGCGTGAAGTGCCTAGATCATGTGGCTGTCATGTCAGATCTGAATCAAGACATTGATGAGAATAAGGTTAGAAGATCTACCCAAGTCAGTCGACTTTGCCAAGCGAACAATTAGTCAAAACATATGCCTATCGACCTCGATCAGTCTCTCTACCCCTCAATTCATTCAGCCCAATTTCATCAACGATGCATATATATATTGGTAGGCGTTGCATAGGTTTTAGAGATTGTCTTAGAAGTTTGTCCTTTTCTTTTTCTTTTCTTCAGCTTTTGACATTAGCTTTTTCTACTAGAAGGAGGGGGCGGGACGCTTCCCCCTCCATTCAGACCCTTTCCCTTAGTGTTGAATAGCTTCAGGATGTAATACTAACACAATAAATACCTAGGATTATGAATAATTATACCACTGTGCAATCTAATGCAGTAGATACCACAACGGCAGATAAAAGCCTCCCGCAAAACCCTTGGCATGATGATTCTCTCACATGGCGCGTCTTTCAAACACACAACCAATTTTTCTTTTTCTCCCCCTCCCCTCCCCTGCCCTCCCGTCATCCTCCCCTTCCCTATCACGACCTGAAGGCTGATACCATTTGACACCCCTTCTACCTTCCCATCCTTAGCGCTCCAAACCCACAATCTAGATACCTCTTCACATTCTTCCCTCGCACCCTCGCACCCTCCCTAGTTCCCGCCTAACCGATCAATCTAGAACATCACCTACACCCCATCCTCAAGTATCCAAACTCCTCAACACTCCTGAATCCTTTCCTTTTGGCTTCAGTGGTATTCCATCCAGATTACGAGCCCATGATTCCAATAATGGGCAGTACCGTCATCATCACCATCATTAGTTCAAGAAAGCCCAAGAAAAACGTCTCAACATCCATTCTCACCCTACTTCAGACATCCAGATTTCCAGTTCGCGAACCTGAATAGAATGTCATTAAATTCTCAGTCGAGGAAAATATCCATTTCTCTATGGAATATGTACGTGTGAAAAAGGATAACGAAAGGAAATGCGCCTGTCAATCCATCCGAACGAAAATATAATGATACAAAGCTTGATTTCGATTCCCAAAACAACGAAACTAAAACGCTATTAAAGGATTATTCTGCGGACTGACTCTTGTGGTCTGCCTACACAAGACGCCTGCGTAGTGATGACCTTATCGTCTGTCCGATTCCAGCTTCTCATTCCCATTTTCTCCTCCTCTCCCCCCTTTAATTAGCCTTAACGTTCAGAATTTTCTTCCCACCCAAATCCTTCACCTTCTCTCCTAATGTTTTCTTTTCGTCCAATTCCGCCACATCATCACCACCTCCAATACTGACCCCATTAATCAACACATTGGGGACTGTTCTCCTTCCTGTAAGCTGATACAATCTCCCTTGCAATTTTCCTCCCAGGGCATGTTTATCTAGTTCCACCACATATGGGAACGGATCGATTGTGTATTTTTCGAGGAGGATATCCTTTGCGCGTTTGGAATGCGGACAGTAAGATTTGGAGAAAATGATTACTATTCGAGTAGTTAGTTAATCTTGTTCTCTAATGTGAAGAACCGACCTTGTGGAATACAATAGAAGTGCAAATGATTAGAAAAGAAAAGGGGAAACCAACTCGGCGATTTCTTCAAAATAGTATTCAATTCCGTCGTGACCTCCATATCTTCTTCCTCCACCTCCTTCTCCCCCTCTTTGACAACTTCTTGTGCCTTATCACTCATCTTCTTCCGTCCCGCAACACTCCTCTCCCCACCCTGTCCCTCTGCCGCATTTCCCTTCCCTACAACCTGCGATGGCGGATCAGGTTTAAACGCCTTCGCATTCGCATTATCTTTTGCTTTATCCGCCGCATCTTTTAATCTTTGTTGCATTTGTTTTGCTACTTTTTCATCTTCATCGTTTCGGCTTCCTGCAGCTGCCACTTCTTGCTTTCCCAATCCGTTCATGGTCTTGCTGTAAAAATCCCCGGAGTCGGATTTGACGAGATTGCGCTGTTGACGAAGAGAGGAAGTATAGAAGAGGAGGGATACGACGGCGATGAAGACGAAAAGGCCGAATACTTTCACACGTCGCATGGAAGCCATTTTGGTGGGCTTTTCCTTATAGTAAGGAGGATCTATTGGGTGGATAGAAGTGGTTAGTTGTTGGTAATTTCTCGTAGGGAATTGAGAGACGAAGAGAGAAACTCACTAGCTGCGTAGTACTTTCCCATTTCTACTGCGAATACTGCGCTGGACGTTTATCGTAATTTGCGCAATAGTGGTAGTACTAGGTAGGTACGTTGAGGCTTGCGAGCTTTTGCAAATTTACCTGCTTCCAGTTCCTTTGCTTGTTGACCCTTTCCTCCTTTGATCAAGAGCACTGCAGAATCTGCAAGTTTTCGCAACGGCGTACGAGGTAATTGTTTCGTATGGATTTCAAACCGCTCAGGTCTGCAATAAATCAATCGTCTTAAGAAACCACCTGTCAACCCCAATGCCAATGCCAATGCCAATCGCAATTCAATCCCAATAGATATGCCGACAATCCGAATCCTTCACACCACGTATCGTTTCGTCCTTTCGTTTCCACAAATAAATTGTGACTTAATAATTATCTGCTCGCGTCGTAGGTAATTATTATCGTTTTGGTGGTAGATAGATGGATTATCGAAGATCCAATAATTCCCGTTTCAAGCTTCGCTCCACTATCTAATTAGTTGGTGCTCCCTGGGTAGATTGCGATCCCTCCTTAAACCTTATCAAGTATTACACTTCACAATTGGACGTAATTTTTCACCCACGTTTTAATCTCTCAGACTCTCACGGAAGAAGATATAAGTTGATAGTCATGGCTATGGTTATGGTTATAGTTGTGATAGAAGAACCAAAGGTCACACGATGCTCATATCTCACCCCTCTTTACATACGCTAGACTCATCCTTCTACCTCTTGGGTTCTCTGCAGATACCCATACCATAATTCGTGGCATTCAAAATTACGAATCAAAATCCAATCTCCATTCCATCCGAGTTGACTCTCAAACAAACCGTTTTTATCCATTCTAAAAGAAGTTCTACCCCCCGCCGCTTTTCCTCTGATGCCTGCCTGGTCGGGTACAAAGGTACGAAGGGTCATGCACCCCTGGCTAATGAAGATCTAGCGGGCCTTAATTCGCATTTAGCTCTCAAATGTCATCGGCAAACATGGAAGCACGGTTTCGAGTTAACAAGACCAGCATGATTGACAGGAAGCCTTTTTGGTGTATGGAACAAAATATAGAACAAAACCATTGAGATCATCTCGTTTCACAAGTATTTGAAAATATGAAGGGGAACCCCACTGATCACCAAGATCCACCGCCGTCAAGCTTCTAGAAGATCTGAACCCCGTCTTAAGCTCATCTTGAGATCCGATACATTCTTTGACAGGCATCGGCAACGTCAAATTAATGCACATTTCATTTCTGGGTTCTAGGACTTTTTGCAATCCATATCCTTGAAGTGTGTCATCTATTTTATTCTTATTATAGATTAAGCTAAGTATTTAAAGGGCATATTACATAGATAGGTATATATGGTAATCGTACAAGTCGTAACAAAAGAAAAATCACTCCCGTTGACCACCTCGTCCCACGAATAACTTTGACAAAGGAAAGTAAGTATACCTGTGTGTATCAATCATCTAGCGCCATCCGACTTTTATCCTCGCTGGGTATATCCCCTTAATCAATCATAATATGCCACTCCAGAAGCATACATACCACCCAATAATCCCTCATTTAAAAGCACCCACACTCGCTCTTTCTCTCAGAGTTCTTTTCCCTCCATCACCTTTCATAGACCCCGTGATCTCAATCCAATCCTCCCATTCTCGTGCGATTTCCATAAGGACACCACCCATCACTGTAGCCGAGGCCATTAATCCATGTCCCTCTCCTTCCAAGACTCTGACTTCACATCTTTTCATTGTTTTGCCCAACCATCGGACGTTTTCAACAGGGACTCTCGTATCTTTACTTCCATGATGAATGACTGTAGAACGTGTGATATCTACATAACGAAATCCAATAGTATGCCTTCTCTCCAGGCATACCAGTAAATCCACAGCTGGATTTGCGCCGACAGTTGCTAGATCCCATATAGCATGCGTCAGACGTGTATCATAGGCCATTTGTCTTTCTTTGTCGGCTAATGTACTCGCAGCCACTGCTAATATCGCGGCATCATGATTCGGATCATTCGGATCTGATGCTGCTTGCTCCATTGATCCCGGTACAGTAGATTCTGGTCTTCTCGATGGATCAAACTTTTGATTCTCCTTATCTAGACCTGGGGTAAGTACGTTGTTTCTGCCACTCGGCGTCGGTGTATCTCGAGTGGTAGATGCTGACTTGCGCTTAGTTCTCTTTTGTTTTGGAAGGCTGCTTGTGACCGAGCTACTGGTGGCACTCATGAAACTAGAATTTGCAACCTTGAGAATTGTGGTCGGAAGAGCGCGAAGTATACGCTGAGACGTAGGTATGGAGTTCGCAGGTGGCGATACTGTCTGTGTACCAAATGTTGTCAACTGTGAAGGGGGAATCCAAGGGGCAAGAAGATGAATGCGACCGCGAATATGCTGTGGCATACGCAATGCTGTTGCGAGAGCGTATATTGCACCAGCTGAATGTGCGAGTATGGAGAACTTTGTTATCCTCAAAGCTTGACATATTGCGTATACATCATCTATATCATGTTAGTTTCAAGAAAGACGACAAAAGTCTTAAGAAAACTTACCAGGCCAGCTCAGCGGAGTCGCTGTACCATCAGTGTATGGCTCACTTTGCCCAACTCCTGGTCTATCCGGTGTGATCAGTCGTAACTTTAGCGCTAGGGCAAGCTCATCGTAAAAAGCGGTGATATATCTTGTCAGACCCATCCCAACGCAACAGAACACTGCTGAGCCCTCTGGATCACCTACTTCTGAGAATGAAATAGTTCGGCCGCTTGTTGGGTGTCTGATCTTTTGCGATAAGCGTGGAGATGCGAGATAAGTTGTAACAGCATCATCAATAGAATCTGCACTACTAGGGCGAGGATCATTAAAAACAGAAGCAGGCCTCGATTGTTCGGGAGAAACAACTCTAGAGCTAGGTCTAGAAGGATTCTTTTTAGAGGTATCATAGTCCAAATTGGCAGGACTTAGAGGACCGGATAGTCGCTTGAGTCGCGAACTACTTCGCTTTACCTTTAGCTCTGGCGGTTCAGGTGACATCCCACCAGATTGTCTTTTCTGACTAGATGATCTCTTGTTTTTGGTGGGACTTGGGTTGGTTTGTGATCTTCTTTGAGTAATAACAGGCGCAGGAGCACAATCAAGATCATCCTCAACAAGTGGATGCTCATTGTTCTGTGCAAAATCCTCAGGTTGTTTGTTACCTGGCGCTGTAGATATGGTTGAAGGGGGTTGGAACACCTCAATAGGCACCTTCATATTTGTGGATTCCCCAGATTCAGAGCTTGCCCTACTCTGAGCTTCATCATGCTCGTTAATAACATCCTTCTCCTTCTCACGATCCATATCACTTCGTCTACTTGCTAATTTTGAATCGCGTTTCTTCGTTTGAGCCGCCGGTTTTCGAAGAGATGAATCTCGTGCAGGTATAAATCTACCTGATCCAATTCCGCCGGGACTATTCGCCAGCGATGGAGACCAACGGCGAGGAATTGGGGGTGCTTTTGTAGTGTCGAGTGTGAGAATGGGGTGTTTGCCTAATGAGGGAGGTTCCTCGGTAATGGGAGTTTCAGCCATGAAAGTTGGTTGATCAAGACTAGGCATGGCCAGACGATCGAGCCCAAGGCCTTTGAAATTTCGTGTCTTTTCCGATGCGTTCTCTCTGAGTCTTTCCTTTGAACTCATATACATCAATCCTTTATTATTTCTACCCTGCTTTTTATCCCAACTATCCGTTGACCTTTTCCTTTCCAATTTCTGTATCGGAGCGTAACCCGGCTCTATTGATAAACTCCCGATTGTGCTCGAATCATCTTTTTCTTTTGATCCTTGTGAACCTTTCGAACCCGGTCGGCGCAGAAAGTTTTTAAGGGAGTTGGATCTAGAATCTGTCGCTGGTGATTTGGGTGCAGTTAACGGAGAATATCCTGATGGAGGTTTCGAAGTTTTAACAACTGGAGGGCTCGCAGCCAATTCATCAAGCGATTCTTCCTCAATAAGTTTGCGCAATGAAGGTTGCCTGAATGCTCCGTAATCTATACCAAAACTTCCTCCCGAACTTGTCCTAGTATATGATGGTCGTAAGTCCGGATGGGAGAAGGAGATCGTCGACGCAGATGGTGAACCCGAGTTTGAGTGATTCTCGAAAAGATCGTTCGCGGGAGAGGATATGATGGAGAGAGATGTAATCAAGGAAGATATAACCTCTGGCGATGCAGGTTGTACTGATATGCGATTTGAGGAATGCGCCGAAGGACCTGATAGAGATTTTCGACGAGAATGTTGTCGTGAACGATATGGTATTGGTGGGGGAGTCTCCATGGCGCTCTGTGTAAGGATCGGACGTACTCGCGCCTACTCTAGATGATCGGTAGGTTTAGGATGATTTAGAATGGTTTTGATACAAGCATTGACACCATACACCACCTTCAAAACCACAAACAATTGAAAGAATGTTTCAAAGATCCCAATTTTGTTTAAATGCGAGAGAAGATTTGGTTTGGTGCAAAAATTGGGTGAGACTCTGTTCGCAGTGGCTGATTGCTAGCAAAATTAAGTAGATGGTCCGAGAATGTAGAGTAAATGAAAGTAGAAGAATGAATGTTGATCTATCTGGACGAAGACCTTGAGAAACTTTGGTCAATTAATACTCAAGAAATCTCTCAGCAAAGGTTTACCACATCAAAGCATGTATCAAAAGGATCAAAGCAGTCAATGTGCGAACTCCTTTCAAGTTATACTATGAGACATACGAGATCCATTTGAACTTGCTGTTTGTTGCTGTTGCTGCTACTGTTGCCGTTGCCGTTGCCGTTGCCGATTCCAAAAGCTTTCAACAGAAATTAAAAAGTCCCTCGGCTTCAATCAAGCAATCAATCAATCGAAACTTCTTCCAACGAAGGACTCGAGTCGAACGATTTTATTAGTGAATTGTCGAAAGCCCCATAGTTTAGGTTCAGGGGCATTCAATGCTTATCGTCTTTTTCCAAAAAGTTGACTATGCGCGGGGGAACGTCCTGATGGGAATCTCAACTGGCAGTGATAGGTTGAAGTTGCAAATTCTACCTGCAAAATGCAATGCAGAACATGGATGTCTTTCCCCGAATGCACTCGTGGAAAGGTGTGATGATTATGGGTGGGCTTCGTGGGACGCGTTTGGTCTGTACCTTTTTTTTTCTGGGTCGCCAAATTAATCTCGACAAGGCGGCCGGGAAAGGGAAGCGATGTTAATTTGGAAAAGGAACCTTGTAGAACACCGAGAACACTTCGAGAAGATATATATATACAGGTAACAGTAGGAAGAGACGTGATGTGAGGAGCCTGGTGAAAAGGGAGGGAAAACGAAGGGGAAAATCTATCTACGTATCAATATCCATCATCCATGGTTCTGTCGGTCCGGGTAATTATGCCTTATATGAATTGTGGTAGCTCGTACCCAATAAATCCCGAAAAGCATCTTTCTTTCTCATCAGTATCCGCTTCTTTAAAATTTCTACAATTAGAGCAGTGGATCTGAGTTTCTTTTTCCTTCCTTTCCATACTGCTTATCAACAAAAGGAATGTCAAGAAATATTCAAAGCCCGAGCTGAAGAAGGTCTTGGATAATTTCATTGCTCGTCCAAATGATTAAATTCAAGCGGCGGGTAAACTAATTTGAACCCCTGATGCAGTAGCGAAAAGCTAGCATTAGTCCAGCAATCCTCCACATGAATGGAAAAAGTGGGCACAAATCAAGAAACGTCAGAATTATGACATCGTCACCACGAGGGGCCGAATCTTTTGTCGACATGAACTAGGTATGGAGCGGGCCGTTCGTTGGCATACCGTCCCAAGTGAATCGTCTTTCCTCTCCCCACTATCTGTAAAGTATATCTAAGACACAGTACACTCTGATCTTGTGTGCATATCTTCACTATTCCGAGACATACATCATTTGAAGAACCGTTTGCAAGATAGACTATACTATGGATGCTCTTCTATCGCTCCCGGTGGTGGGATGGTTTCTCATGCCATCCGTTTCAACATACTCTACATCCCTCAACTTCTTATTCTTTTATATGACATGGTCGACTCTCGTACTATCACATTCAGCTTTAAGAGTTGAGGTGGTGGGAACTCTCGGGATAAGACTATTGTTCTTCATAGTGCCTTCATTTGTATTCCTCATATTTGATTCTATCATACCAAGCTTATCGGTAGGGGTTAAACGGCAAGGAAAACAAGCTTTACCTACTCGGGCGGGAGGGACGAAAGTATCCAGAACAAAGGCTCCAGAATGGTACCGGGTAGTGGGGATCAGTTTGTTCAATATCCTTATGGGAGTCGGCATTCAAGCGGGATTTGAAATGGTTCTTACGGAGATCTTGCACTATAAGAGCGCGCTAAGAGTCACTACTACATTACCCATGCCATGGTCTCTCGCCAAGGATGCTTTGAAATGTCTTCTTGTTCGTGAGGTTAGTGATTCTCCGAAGTATCTGCCAAGATGTACAGCTATAGCTAATCTGTACTTTCTTTCTATCAGTTTATACAATATTATACCCATCGCTTCATCCTTCACGCCCGGTCTTCAAATTTCCTTAGCCGGGGCCACAAGAGTTATTACCACTCCGTCACCTCTCCATATGCATTTGTCGCTCACTACGATCACCCAGTTTCCTATATACTGTTCCGCTTCATCCCCATCTATCTCCCTGCGGTAATTTTCCGGGTTCATCTTCTGACATATCTTCTCGCCCTCTCTGTTGTCACTATGGAAGAAACACTCGCATCGTCCGGTTATAGCAGTGTCCCTGGGATCATTCTCGGCGGAATTGCACGCCGTCAAGATCTACACAGTGAAAGTCGAGGAAAAGGAAATTTTGCACCATGGGGTTTATTGGATTGGATCCACGGAACTAGTCTCGGGTCCGGATTGAAGGAAGATGTTGCGAATGAAGCCGAAAAACATCAGGTCAAGAGCCGAAGTAGAAAGGCTATTGCTAGTGGAAAGGAGAGTGTGAAATCATTAAATGGAAGGAGAAAAAGTTCTAGGAGAGTTTAGGTCTTCCTTTTATGATGTTAGGGTGGTCATTGTTGAATTTTGTTGGCAATGGAGGTTGGAAAACACTTGGTTTACATTATGACACCCTCGGTCTATGGTTCTCCTACGCCTACTTTGTGTACTATATGCATCTATTTTGATACCAATTCTCGTCATCGAATCTGAAGCAAGATTCTCTTAGAAACAGGTAGTGCCGCCCTGGTGGCGCAAGCAGGCGTCGTTCCTCAAATTTCCCAACTCAACAATCTCCTAACCCCATCCACTCATCATTTCCCCCCCATTGTAACATGCTTTGAGCAAGGAGTAAACATATTACTATCACAAGGCCTTATATGTGGATACCACCTACCACTGCAGGAAAAAAGTTGAAATTTTGATCTCCTACTATACTTAAGGTTCAAGAAGCCAAACAATGTTTCAATCTCACTCTCCAAAGTTCTGGCAATCTTCCTAGAACCTCATAGAGCGCAGACTTTAGAATTTGTTTGATATTGCAGCAACACCTACTCAATCTCAACCCCCCAGAACCAAAATCCCTTGAAGAGAGTTAACTTTCATCCCTTTAGATCGAAGAGCCCCCGTCCCCTTCTCTCAATCTTCACACCCACCATCTCTTCTCACAATACCTATTCCTTCTTCAATTCTTGCAAATTCAACTTTTTAACAACTTTTCCTTGATCCTCAGGTCCTCATCATTCCCCCTCCAAATTTTCAGAATCAATAACCAAAATCTTAAAAAGTTGAAAAAGGTTGATTTTTCGGAATCCTTGTGTACAAACCCTGAGCAAACAGCTTTTTCCCTTCAAAAGACCACTCACTCACTGGTGGACAAATAAAAGTTGAAATCAACTATTAAGATGTGCAACAAAAACTTGCAAGACTTGCAAGAGGAAGGAATCACGAGATTCGGGATGGATGATTGTTATTCCGAAGTGGCTCGAGCTTTCTTGAGTAAGGACATCCAACACCTTTTTTGATTCTGGTTTGTTAAATTCAAGACATGTCATGACATAATGTGTTGTGGGGATACTGTTTACTAGAAGTCTGGATCGCAATCTACTATTGAGTGGATGATCTCTTTTTGCAAAATGCAAAAAGTTACTTAATCTTACCATCCAGACAATTGATCAAAGGTTTGCGGTCAAATAGGAACAGGAAGGCCGTGTGGGAAGAAACTGCCATTTGACCTTTGTGGAAGTAGATGATCTTCCTTGAATGTAACTTTATCTCACACAGAAGTTTCTAGTGTTGATGAGTTGAGGACAAGAAAGAACTTTAAAAGCAATGGAATAAAAGTCTTCTCATGGATGTGGCAATGGCCATGGCAATGCATGGAAGGAAGGATCTTCAAGAATATTATGGTCTTGGATTATGAATAATGTTCCCTTCATCCATTCATTTCTTCATTTGACAAGATTTCCTCAAAATCTTTCGCCGCCAGAAGGGGGTGCTCATAACATGATATCCAGGTGGAGTCATCCATAAATAATCGTTATCGCTCCAGATATATTGCTATCTCATTATCAATTATATTTGTTATTCTCCAAGGAGACTCCTGGCATTATACCTAAGACAATCGCAAGCACCTTTGTCTTCCAGGTATAAGAAAATATCGAAGTTTAATCTTTCAACAATTTTAGAGTTGTTCAACAATGTCTCAGAGCTTAGAGCAAGTACTACTTCCTTGACTCAGCATACTTATGCTGATCATTATACTGGGGATCACAATTGAGGGTTCTGGATATGTTTAGATCAAGACTATTGTGAAGATGGGAAGTTCATCATCTTTGTGGAATTGTCAAAACTGAAAAGTTTGATAAGAGTAGAAACTCCTAGGCTTCAAAGTACTTCTCCCGGGGTATCTGCCACCCATTTAGTAATAGTGAAATAGATTGCTTGATACATTCGAAGCCTCTTGTTTTCTCGCAAGATTATATACATTGATTGATAAAGCTCTGTGGAAAAGCTTCGAGGGGTTTTCGCTTAATGGCTTCATTCGACGTATCATCAAAACTCATACTCCTTTTTACTGGATATCAGATATCTCTGATTTGACATATGGATCCTGTATACGCTCAAATTCTCCCAGCCCAGAGATCCAATTGGTAAGAATGCCTATTGCCTTGTCTTTGATCCTTTATTGTAATTAGATTTTTTGATTTTTGTATGTGTCTTTTGATGTATGGGTACTGACCTCTCTCTTTTGCTAGCTTTGTGTGAAGATATACACTATGTGATAGTGTGTAAAGATACAAACCGTCGTTTCTAAGGAGGTTTTCATGAAATCAGGATAAGCATTGGTGAAATCAAGTCTGGTAACAGTGGTTCAATTCTAAGGGATATATCCCGGTAATAATTTTGACTTCTTGTTCCAATTTGGACACCCAGAATATTGACCAACAAGGTTTGTTTTTGAGTCCCTCCTGCCTGCTTTTCTATATGGATTATTGACCTCTTTATATGTTACCTAACAATACGCAGATACTCGTAAACACTTTCTTTTCGACTCTTATTACAAGAGGCTTGGTGCTTTGTTCTCCTATACAACAGACAATCCCGTCTTTCCCGGATTCGTGCCATAAATTTCCCGAGTCTCCGTCGTTTATACAGAGGCGACAACTACCAAGTCTTCCATTGCGCGTTCCTGCCACGGATTTATTTCTCCAGCTTTCGAACTCTCAACCTTACTTCAGTCCTTACTTCTCATGTCCAGTAATCTCATGGCTACCAATCTATTAGCCTCCAATAAGGGGGCAGAGTTACCGGCAGATGTATGCCTGCGAATTATAGAGCTAATAATTCACGACGCGCCTAAGAACGTCGTCATCTTAATCAAGCTTTCACGTGTCAGTTGTATCCCCTCTCTTCGTCTCCTGTTTGAGCAACCCGACAAGAGCCTACTCATTACCATACTTAAGATAATTCGACTAACCTTCTACAGTCCTTCAAGAAGCTCATCAAAACTTACGAACGAGGCCTGACCAAAACCGCCATCAATCTCTACTCCAACGCCCAAGTAAACCAAAATATTCACTTCATCGTCCGCAACCAACCAGCATCTAAGGACTTTACCCCCAACCTATACATTAACCACACCTTCGGACATCTCCTAGAAACCCAAACTCGCGCACGAATTACGCACGAAATTACTCACGATTCCTTTTCCCAATGCCACCACCCCACTATCTACTGGGCCGGCGGCGTGGGTTTCGATCCGCCTACCCTTGCTATTCCTCTACCCGAGCTCGAAATCCGAAGACAGAAATTCAAAGAAGAAGCGCTCAAATTATTATACGAGCTTTTCGATAGAACCCAAGGTATCAAAAATGACTGGCATGCTCGACGTCGTCAAATCGATTATCTCTCCCGTCTCAGTACGTCGGACTTAGCAGTGCTTTGTATCTTCATCCCTATATTGGGATTCAACCTTCTTGAAAAATTGAAAGATGAGAGTTTTGATACGAAGAGAGCGGTCATTGTTTTTCAGCATAATCTCATAAGATATGGACCGATAGTAGCTTGGTTGCAGATTTCTGCAGATACGAAGTGCAGAAGAATAGGACTTGCAGGAACGTTCAGGTTGAACGAATGGTGGAAAGAGAGACAAGCTGAGGGTGTGGAAAAGTTGAAGAAGTTTGAGCAGGGCAGGATGGGAGAAGCGAGGATGATACTGGTGCTTTGGAGGATCTTCCAGGGTAGGGAGAGCGTTGAAAAGGTTTGGAGTCCGAGGAGTGGGGAGAGACTTTGGGAAATTGCTAAGGGGTTGGTAGAGGAGAAGATGAGGGGGTATGTTGTTTGAAAAGGGAGCTCTTATCTCGTCTCATTATGCTTGGGTGGGTTTAGGCTGGTTTGTGGTTCTATTAGGCACTGGGATTAGGGTTGGGATTGGCATTGGAATAGGGATAAGGATAATGTCTGTGTATATGAAAGATTCAGGGTTTTGTTATGGTCTGGATTATCTGGAATGGATTGGTAATATTTTTGGGCTGCTAGATACTGAGACAGATACACAAAGGGACTATTGTTGATATTGCGATTGTCGAGGTAGGTATCAGACTGTCTGGGTTAAGCACTATTAGTCGGACAGGGTTTTTAAAAAGAGGACTAGAAGATTATATCAAATACAGAAGATTGAATTACTGTAGATTCTCATTGAGATGTTATATATTGTGAATGTTTAAGAGGAACCCGAGAGTCCGAATCTCATAATCGCATTAATCAAGATGACAACAATGATCGTTCATACCAAGGTCAAAGATTCGAAACCTCATCTCGTGTTTACAGATGATAGTACTGCATATTCATGTAGTCGTTGCATATCATGATCTTCTCGTCCGATAAGCACAAGGTATTATACTAAGAGTGAGAGTAGCGGCCGTAATAGTTCTTTACTTTCTTCTCTACTTCATACGCTTTCGTCTCATGATTTAAGAGAGTGATATTGATTGTCGGATGAGAAATATCGATGAGATAAAATTGGCCGCCAAAATTGACATCGATAGGAGCATGTGAAGACACTCAATGAAGCGGTACTCATTCAACGCCCATTGAGTTCAACGTCTATCAAGATCTATTTTGAATGAGGAGTTTGAGCATTATCATCTTATGTTCATGGGATGGTTTTAATTTAACAGATTCCTAGAATGCTTTTTACACATATGGATGTTGGTGTATCAATCCCTTGAGCTTGGATTGAAATATCTTACTTTCATGCTGACATTTATCTACTAGGTATGCATTTATGAGTTCTGCCGAGTATTAATTTCAAACTGCTATATCTCTCGAGCTCATTATCGTCCTTTTCCTCTCAGAATGATTCATCACAGGCATCAGCTTACTGCTCTCGATGTGTGTTTACTACCTCCTGGGCACCGTACATATAGCTAGCCAGTACCATACCGTTTCGCTCCAGGCTCCCACACACAAGTTACTCATATCTCTGATTTTCTACTAAAATGATTTCTTAGGTTTTATCGAATCATGTAATCTCTACAATCCCTATTCAATCTTACGAAATGCACTTCAGAACATTTTGATCTTGATCTCATCGGCTTTGAGACACGTCCACTGATTGAACCATTGAGAACTGGATTGCTATGTTCTCTGTTATCTTAAGTCGTTTGCGTCGATATTTCGGACACGCTACCCGATTCCCGATTTGCCTTTTGGTTTTAACCATCTTGTGGGACATCTATTTGTACAAGTCTATTACTGTAAAGCTTGACTATGAAATTTCTCTAATGCTAGTGAAGGTATTTTGATTCTTAGTTTAGATAGAACTGGAATATTGTTCACGGCGTCGAGCGGTAACCTCCAAGAGTACATTGGCCATTATGATTGTGTTAACAAAGAGAAATCATCCAAGTTGATTGGTAGCTGGCATGAGCTTAAGGAACCTCAACTCCATCTTGGAACGCAATGCCTTGACAAAAATGGGCCATCTTCCGGAGCACCATCGAGAAGCCAACTCGCACGGTACGAGACTGGAAGGTAATGATGTCGGTAGATGAGGAATGGGGGAAGTAGAGGAAAAAAGAATACAGATTATGGGGGAGAGATTGTTGGTGAATGATATGGAAAAACCTTCTCGAATAGCGATCAAGATAAAAAGCCTTCAGGATGTTCCCATATTCCTAGGAGCAAGTCAACAACAGAAGGTTCTCTGTTCACACAAAGCTTTGTTCATCAAGATCAGAGGCAGAAGTAGCAAAAGACATCACAAAGAGTTACAACAAAGAAAAATCACGGAAAAAGAATTTTTGGGTTTAAATTTTTTAATTTAGGAAAAAAAATGATCTAAGCAAACCAAAGAACAAATGAAATCCTGTCGAGGAAAGAGTACAATTGCGTTAATCAGAACAAAGGAAAATCTGCCGACGGGCGACTTGAGAGCCAAGCTCAAAGATTTAGCTTCTCAGGAATTGCTTACTGGTTGAGTCCCGAAGACTAGAAGAGAGAGATGGTAGGATGAAGACAACGAGCTCACTGAGCTTGTATTGCCTTCTTGCGTTCCAACTCCGCTTCAATCTCCCTGAACACATCATCTAGGATTTCAGGAAAGTCAGTACCATAGAAGATAGAGAGCATCTCTTCTTCCTTTTCCTTGACCCAGTAGTTATGCATCAGATCAGGAATTGCAAGCTCATCAGCCGCTGGAGCATGAGTCGGCTCAATCTCTTTCTTTTTCTACATACAATACCATTTGTTTGTACAAGCTTTGACGGTATATGTGCGAACAGGCCAAGGATCGGATGCAAAGAGGTCGCCCCCTTTCAGGTGTCTGGCTTGTTCGATTGTCATGGCTACCGCAATGTATACCCATTTGGAAAACTTGTATTGAAGGGAATGTTCGCGTACTACTTGGGTGAATTTAGCGAGTTCGCTCTCATTGTAAAATGGTGCCATTTTCGTGATGGTTGATAACTTGTTGGTCTTTAGATAGATTGCTTGAAAATGTTGTGTAGATGATTGTTTGTAATGTTGTGATCTGGATAGTTGTAATACGAAGTTGGTGCTGAAAAATAAAACTTTCTATCTCATCGATAATCGCATCTGAATTATAGATTTGCCGGATGCATTGTTCTGGTGCTGTTCCACCCAGAACTTCATTTCGAGGTTCTTTGTGCCGCAAAATAACCCTCGACTTCGAGATTGTTCAAATGTTATCCGAACACTATACAGATACTAAGCTATGCAGCTTTGTTGTTACAACTTTTGGAAGCAAATAATCTTCAGTGGTCCAATTCTAATTTCCAATATCTTATATTCCATTCTGTCTGTAGTACTTGTCATATGGGTGTCCAATACCAACCAATTTATGGTCCTTCATCTATGCTCCTATCCCCACATAAACGCCGAAACATAAACTACAACTTGCTCTTTTGAGCCTTGCTCTCCTCCCTGGCTGAAGATCCAGGAGAGTTCGCAGCGCCACCAGTCTTTGAACCGGAATTTGCCTTGATACTAGCCATGCCCTGATCTAGCATTTTTCCATCTCCACCACTTGAGCTGCCACTTACAGTCTTCATTAGAGCTCTTCCGTTGCTCAAGCAAACCTTTCCACCTTCTACTTTGGTGACGAATCGAATTTCTTCCCATCCCTCTTTAACTTCTCCAGTTTTCCAGATCTCGATGATCAATTTATCGCCTGGTTTGACCGGCGATGCGAATCGACATGAAAATTCTTTGATGTTTTTAGGGTCACTACCACCAATGGCTTTTAGGAGCGCATGAGCGGTGAAGTTCCATGATGAAAGTCCATGCATGATAGGCCCTCCAAACCCCATCTTTTGCCCTGGCTCAGGTGTTGCGTGTAAAGGATTGTAGTCACCATTCAATCTGTCAATTGACATTCATTAGCCGGGGACTCCGAACGACATTCCTTGCAAGATAGAATCATACCTGTACAATAATGCACTCTCCTTTGTAGTCTGATGTTCCATGACAGCATCAGGTTTCTTTCCTTCAGGTGGAGGAAAGTTCTGAGTAGCCGGACCCTTAGGTCCATTCCAATTACCCTGACCAACAAAGAACGCACTCCCAACAGCCCTTGTGTACACTTCTCCACTGTTCTTGTCTACAATCTCCTGTTGTGTTTCAACAACAGTTCCAGATTTTCCTTTATCATATACGCCGATAACTTTAGAGCGTAACTCGAAGGTTTTGCCAGCGGAGGTAGGTGGGAGTGGTTTGAGGAAAGTCATTGAACGTCCACCATCAAGCACGCGTCTGTAGTCAAATTTTGGCACACCGGGAATTGGGGTCGCGGCGGAGGCGGCATAGAAGTCAATTACTTCTTGAGTTGTGCGTTTGAATGCTTGAGCTATATTAGCAGATTTACAAAGCGAAAGGGGGAGGAGGCTTACGAAGAAGGACTGGATATGTTGGAAAGACGGCGAAGTTGGGATGTAATTCCTGTGCCTTTGATTAAAATGTGCCAATTCCAATTGATTATCAAATACATACGTATAAGAAGTGTAGCTCATCATTCGTACACCCAATGCTGTTAGCAAAGAGCAAAACATCTCTCTTCAACCAAGAAACCTCCTCTGCAGGATATTCGAAACCAGCTCCTGGACCAGACATTTTGATGATTATATTGTATGATTTTACCGTTGTTTTTCAATTTTGAAGCAATTCCCGAAAACAGAGGAATGAATTGAATTGAATTGAATTGAATTGAATTGAATTGAATTGAATTGAATTGAATTGAAAGAGATGTGATGTGATGTGATAAGAAAGAAAGAGAGGATCACCATTGACCAAGAGCTTTGAGCTACCCCGGAATTCCATTCATGATCCCCACATTTCGGCCATTCTCACATGCCGAGGTATCTTCGGAGAAATTGTGAGCAACAATCTCGATTCAACTATTATTAGACTACCTACTGGTAGGTAAATAAATATATAGTAGTAGTAGTAAATTCATAATCGATTCGGTCTATATAGCTATGCTAATAAGACCATGCGATGCGCCTGTGTCTGTGTCTAATTGAATGAAGTAGATAGGAAAAAGATATAAAAACCTACCCCCCCCCCCGGTGTCCCACCGAGTCGCCTATGCTATGTACCCGTCCTGTCCAACACTTATAGCCCGTGATACCTGTACTTTCGAAGACGATGTTATTGAGTGCTTCGTTTCCATTCTACGAGTTAGTAATGTGTGGTCTACTTTCACCCTGCTTGGTGGTGTAGGCCCCCCTCTCCCCCTGTATTGACGCGACAGCGTTTGTTGTGGGTGTTTGTTGTTGATGTTGTCGTCGCGACAGTGTGACCCCACGGCTACCCGCCTCTACCCTGTAGCAACCGCGTTTCTTTGTTTGCTTTTTATCTTCCTTGGCTTTTTCTCTTTGTTTAAATATATATATATAGTCTTTAGGATTCAATTTATTTATAACCTCTCCATCCTGACGCACAAATTTAGAATAGAGCTCGAAGCGCGTTGAAGGGAAAGGAAAACATGGCACTAGGCGCGTAGGTAAGGTCGATAAACAAAATAAAGTACGATACACCATCGGAGGAATTCTTGAACATCGAAGCATAATCAATCATTAGACAAATGATCTATGGAGGATCAGTTAAGAGTGATTTTCTACTTATTAAAAATCGAAGTAATTTTGCGGTGGATTTCTCTGATGTGTGAAATGATCACTGTGAACGACTTTGGCACATGATAGAATGTCAAGATCAACTCAGGTTTATGTGATAGAATTATTCTATCTAGACCATATTAAGATAAAACCAACCATTTTTTTGTTAATATCGTCGTCGACGTAAGAACTGTTCTCTTAGCATGAGCTTCAGACCTCTCAAGCCTGTCTTATGTGCGCCAGTAAGCAAAACCACAAATTCTAGAAACCAGGACATTTTCGGTCCACTCTCACCCTGTAAATGTAACTCAAAATTCGAATACAAGGCAATTACGCCGAAGCATCGATCATTCCCGCAATAAAAAAAGCAAAAGAATCATTAGTTACGCCTTATTTCGCCCAATCTCAATCTCAAAGCAAAAGGGTCCCATTAGGTTTTGTGGTATCACCCACTTAACTAACCGGTAGGAGCTCCATTTTGCCCTTGCCATCAGCAATCCACTCAGGTTCAATGAGCTTCTCTCGATCCGCATACAAGTATTTGTATGCTGTACGGATAGTTCCATCACTAACGCCAGCTACTTGGGATATATCCTTTGCAGATTTTGGCTTTCCGAGGAGAGCTGATGCCATGTAGATGCAAGCGGCTGCAACTGACAAAGGCGATCTACCAGCGAGATCACCGACGGTAGAAACCTTTTCAGCGAGGCCTTGGGATATCTTGACGAACTGTTGGCTCTTAAGACCAAGTTGACTGCAGTAACGAGTACAGAGATCTTTGGCATTGGTTGACGTGGTTGTCTGATAACCATCTGGGGCCGCAAGAGCTTGAAGGCAATGTTAATATATACCAGTATAAGATCTTCAGCTTATACAACTTACCACCAGTAGCATCAGCAGTCGCCTTCTTGGCTGAGCTGTCTGAAGCAAAGAATTTCTCAAGTGCTTTGAAAGTTCTACCAATATCCTTCTTCGAAACCTTCGTCAGAGCGTAGATTTCACGGAAGGTTCTGGGAACACCGCACTGACGGCAAGCGATGAAGATACAGCCAGCAATGATGGCTTCTTGGGATTTACCTTTGAAGGCTTTGGCGTCATCGACAAGTTTGAAAAGGTGCTTCGCGGTATCCGAAACGTTCTTTGGGATGTTGACAGCATCACAGTGAGCGCCGATTTCCTTATAGGCTGCGAGTAAAGCTTTTGTTGATTTGTCTGTACCTTGTTTACCTTGAGCGCGGTAGAGCTCACGACTGCGTACGCTGCTGTCGCCAAAAGCGATTGTGGTGGAAAGTTGAGAACCGTTCAATAGAGGATTAGCAGCGTCACCAACACGGGAAGGATCGTCATTTCCCTGGTCATCATTGGAGAATGTACGCCATTCAGAGCGGGTATCGACAATACGATCACCAATAACTACACCACATGTATCGCAGACCAAATCTCCAGAGGAAAATTCTTCAACGAGATTAGGTGGAATCTCCTTGCAGTCCTTGCACATAACTGTGACATTCAAGTTCTGACTCCATTCTAAATTCTTGTCCAATGGCGGTTGAGCCATCATCTTTGGTTTGTAAGGTTTTGGTCGATAAATGTTATCAAGCTTGTCAAAGACTGGACGTCTCTTTGGCTTGCGACGAACTTGTGTTCTTTTCTTTGTAACAGCTAGACGGGTTCTGATATCTCCAGTAGGTTTATCGCAAAGGATTGTAGTCGAAAGCTTGATAAAAAGCGGAGAATGCAGTTTGGCGGTATTGTGGGGAAATTAGGTTGAGTTAATAAATCAGGATGAGTACGACAACGGAGAAATTAGTCCCTTGATCTATGATTCAGACTCAGTTCTACGGTCGATGAAGATTCGAGAACGAGTGAGTATGTGTTATATTGACGATCGATTCGTAGAATAGATAGGATGTGATTTGATGAATGTGAGTGTGGCTGTAGTTGAAAGATTGGGTTGTAAAAAAGAAACGACTGAGATGTAATTCGTTTTACAAGGTCAAGAAAGACTTTGTGAAGAGTTCGACTATCTAAATATGCGACCGTCGTCGACTTGAGCTTCGAGTCGAATAAATTAAGTGTCGTAAGATAGAAGAATGTAGGGTGGGAGAGTGCGCTTGCTGCTTTCGTCGACGGATTTGAAGATTTTCGCAGAACAAATGACCAATAAAGGCGTCCGTGAATGATGTATCAAAATCGTTGTTGGAAAGTTGTCAAAATTATCGTCGTAAAGATGACCGGCAACTTTGTGATTGTTCAAGAACGATAATGTCACTGTCTTCTGTTGATGTGCGAGCGAGCTAGCGGTGGTGATTGTCGGGAAGGTTGTCGGTGAGGATGAAGTAGAGAAGATTTCGTACAAAGACGAGGAATGCCAGCCGCATTCGAACTAGAAATTTGTAATCCAATCACGTGAAAACAACTCACTCTTTTTTGGTCTCAGCCTTGAGCCGCGCCTTCTTTTGGTTGCCTTACAGCACTGTTTTAAGTGCTCGCTAATACGTCGCGCCGAAGCTCCAGGTCAGTTTGGAAGCTCTTAGATATTAAAACAACATTTGAAAGTCAATACATTTACCATCATTCCATCCCATCGCAGTTACTTTGAAACCCAACTTCATACACCCTTTTCGAATCTTTCAAACACAACTTCAACTACAAAATGTCTACATTAGAAGATCTCGAAGATCTCGAGAGAGAGCAAAAGGAAGAGAAGAAGGACGATGGCGACAAGGACAAGAAGCCAACCCAAACTAATGATGCCGATGCTGAAATGAAGGATGCTGAACCTGAAAAGGAAGAAGACCCTATAGATGAGGAGATCTATAGCTTAGGCACACAAGATATTCTCACAAGGAAACGTCTTTTAGAGAATGATTCTCGAATCATGAAGAGCGAGTTTCAACGTTTATCACATGAGAAGGCTGCAATGGGCGAGAAGATCAAGGACAATCTTGAAAAGATTGAAAATAACAGGTAGGTACAGCTATGATAATCGGCAGACTGTTATCACAGTTTAGCCAGTCCACTGACATTATGCAGACAACTACCATACCTTGTTGGAAACGTTGTTGAGTTACTCGATCTCGACCCAACAGCTGAATCTGCTGAAGAAGGCGCAAATATCGATCTCGATGCTACCAGAGTCGGAAAGTCTGCAGTTATCAAAACCTCTACTCGACAAACCATATTCCTTCCATTAATTGGCCTGGTGGACCCAGATGAGTTGAAGCCAGGTGATTTGATTGGTGTCAATAAGGATTCATATCTCGTACTGGATACATTACCTGCGGAATATGATAGCAGAGTCAAGGCAATGGAAGTCGACGAGAAACCTACGGAAAAATACACAGATGTAGGAGGGTTGGACAAACAGATTGAGGAGTTGGTCGAAGCAATTGTATGGCCAATGAAGGAGGCTGATCGTTTCAAGAAGATTGGTATCAAGGCGCCTAAAGGTTTGTTCCATATTTTGTCTGTGTAAAATCAGATATGCTGACGTTTTCAGGTGCTCTTATGTATGGTCCTCCTGGTACTGGAAAAACACTCCTCGCAAGAGCTTGCGCCGCGCAAACAGATGCAACCTTCCTCAAACTCGCCGGTCCTCAACTCGTACAAATGTTCATTGGTGATGGTGCAAAGCTAGTACGAGATTGTTTTGCATTAGCTAAGGAGAAGGCACCAGCAATCATTTTCATCGACGAACTGGATGCTGTTGGTACAAAACGTTTCGATAGTGAGAAGAGCGGAGATCGTGAAGTGCAAAGAACTATGTTGGAGCTACTGAATCAACTTGATGGATTCGCCTCGGATGATCGCATTAAGGTATTGGCAGCAACAAACAGAGTTGATGTTCTTGATCCTGCTTTACTCCGTTCTGGTCGTCTCGATAGAAAGATTGAGTTCCCTCTACCAAACGAAGAAGCTCGTGCCCAAATTTTGAAGATTCACAGCCGTAAGATGACTGTTGATGATGCTGTCAACTGGCCCGAATTGGCACGAAGTACAGACGAGTTTGGTGGAGCTCAGTTAAAGGCGGTATGTGTGGAAGCTGGTATGATTGCACTTAGAATGGGAAAGAACAAGATCAGCCACGAGCATTATGTCGATGCCATTGCAGAGGTCCAAGCTAAGAAGAAGGGTATGTTTCAAATGACTTTATTCCATTTTCCCTACAATACTGACTCATTACAGACACTGTCAATTTCTACGCATAGTGTGACCCTTTGGCGGCGTTTGGCATAGCTTGCACGGCAAGACTTGTAATCATAGACAAATCATGACATTTTAAATATGATCAAACGGGTTTCCAGGAGAAGTCGAGTATGCCTCGTGATTGATGAGAGCCGATGGTAATATATTAATGAAGAAGGTCAACCATATATCTTCCAGCATATGACGAAATGAATGATCCTCGCCCATCTTTGATCTATGTGAAAATGTAACTTCCAACATATCTTTCATCTAGAAAGGTCTTCCTAGATTGGAGCGAATTCCAAGTAGGTCTTTGCTATAAAAAGGGCACTGGATATGCACAAGTGTGAGGGAGAAAGGTCGAAACCACATCGGAACACTGCATGTGCCATTTGAAAAGGTTCGCGGATGTTGACGATTGATTCTTGCTTATCTAGTGCGTAGAGAAACACCAACTTCATTCCGGAATTAGGTCTCTTGCACTTCAAATGTTGGAACACGTAACTGAGAACATGTCACGTTCTCCCCCACTTACGCACGAAGTGCCTATGTGGGGTAGAACGCGTATATAGCTTAGCAATGCCCCCTTCGTACGAAGGGGGCAGACATGAATCATAATACTATTGAACCCAATACACCCCCTTACTAAGTCAACCCAACATCAAATGTTACCTTTATTTGTAAATTGAATTTCAGTGGTAACGGCATCAAAAGCCAACCTTGGAACGCTTTCATTGCGAGTCAATTTCCAGTAAAGCTACTCGCTTGGCTTCCCATTCCATTTCGAGAGCAAAAGAAAGAGGACTATGCAGCTCAACGCAATTTGCCAGACCTTCCAAGTTGTCTTTAACCCCGTCGCGCACAGCTACTTCCATGACTTGAAGATCCTTGACTCTGGCTAACGAAATGTTGCATTCGGTGCACAGAAAACGCGAGATATCGCGGACATCAAAGACGACTTTGGGGATGTGCGGAGATTCAAGAGAGTTCTGAGGAAAATTTGTTCCGGTTTGCCGATTTCGAAAACTTGACCTGGAGAGGGCGCATGCGTGAATTGCATTATGGTTTAGTGATCACTCTGGGGAGTGAAGCTGACGCAGATATTTTGATGGAGGTTTGAGATTCATAATCCCAATACAGAGAATTATTCTTCGATGAATGAAAGATGTCCTCTGTGGAATTTTGAGGCTGGTGATCTACTGATTATTTCGTAACACATGAAGTGAGGAAATGCCTGACATAGGCTGAATAGTATCACATATACACATTGCGGTTCGTCATTTCGGTGGTACTGAAAAGTCGTGAAATGGGTTCAAAAGAGGGTGTGGAAGACTGGTAACTGGTTTCCACAGTGGGCGGGTAGATTCTAGCTTCGTCTAAAGCAAGAGTCTAAAGTGTTGCATAATCAAGTCACATAGTTAGGTAGCAGGGTGCTGGTAACTGAGGATGGAGTCATGAAATCTCCTTAGCGAAGGACGTCGTTGCTTGATATGGTCTATAGACCGTAGAAATATCATATAGTGATTTCTTGTATTTACGTCAATGATGTTCACAGTCTCTCATCCCTCACCTTTTTAGTCAAATAATCGTTATGTTTCTTAGTCGTAGATACCACTGCAGTGTTGGAATACATGTAATCATATCTTTAAGGTCTTGTTATTTAGGCAACAAATTTTCATTCGCTAGAAGAGAACGAAGAGAAGGAGAGCAGTGTAGTTCTTCGGAAACTTGTAAATCCCAAGATTATTTAGTTTCGATTCAGTGGATTTGGCTATATCCAATGAAAACCTGAATCCGACTTCCGTTTCTCCTTCCGCTTTTGCTCATTCTTCGCCCGAATCTCTGTTCCGTGGGAATCCTGGCAGTCCCTTCACGACATCTCCCCCGTCAATCTTGTTCTCGACATAATAGTGACATGCCCTCCCGATCCCGGATCCCGTCGGTCTATGGATACCATATTCTTGTGAGTTTCTATAGTTTTCCCAAGTGGCTGCTATGATATCTAAAATCTCTACCGGAACTCGCTCCCTTTGATAGTCAGCCCAATCGTCAGTTTTTGTGACCCAAATCATCCAACGCCGTAAGAGATTGATTACACCATTGTCTTCTGCGACCAGAGTTCCTTCCGCACCACATGCGATATTCAACGCAGTAACCATTTCGTCGACGATAAATACTAGTGGGTCTGCGCTATATTTTAAGCGTGCATGCATGAGACGTATAGCAATATTCTGAGTGTGAGGAATCAAAAAATAGTGAGCTAGAAACCAAATTCTGGCAAGGATAGGGAGATCCAGTTGCCGTTCCCTTGGAGTATTCTTTGGATAGTTGTGGTCTACGATGACCTCATCAGACTCTGGGATGATAATTGTTCCAGTGTTCATGTATTGGACGATATGACGAAATATCTTGGGACAAATATCTGGAAGCTCGATGACCTGACTGTCTTCTCTCGGAAAATTCAAGGATGTACGGACTAGTGAACTATTAGTTCAAAGTTGCGATCTTGCTGAAATGGAATCTTGGGAAGACGGAAGAACTTACAGTAAGGTGAGTAGTAGGCAAGACGGATTTTGGAGACGTTGAAGTTCTTGTGGTTTGGTTCGGTGCCAACTTTGATGCGAATGAACTCATCTTCTCTGCATTGCATAATGATTAGCACCCATTTTGTTCAGAGAGTAAGTTCTAGCACATAGGCTGAAACCGTGAGACATGCAGGCATATTTTTCAGCCACTTACGAGTAATCAAGAAGAGGTCTCTTGGGCCAATGTTTCCTAGAAGGTATCGTCATGTTTTTGTGAGGATCTATAAACGGAATTTGCTGTATGGTGTTCAGTCAATAAGTTGTAAGTGTTCATAAAAGTTTCAGTCCTTAATAAAATGTTTCCGAGCGAGTTTGTACGACTGGTATTGAATTGAGGGATTTGCTGCCGGAGTTTGAGCTTCCAAAAGTTTCTTGGCTTTAGCCACTTTGAGCTCATCTATTCACTTTACCAAAAGTGAATGCTCTATCTCGCGAACCATACGAATAACCTAAAGAAGATATAGTACGGGAGTAATATTCATGAGCATGCCTATATCAAGATACCCTCCAAATCATGATTCTTCTGATGAGTACTGCTCAAAGTAGAGCGAAAATCCCAACGCTCCGGAGAGTCTTTTATTGGGGAGTTTTAACTCTACATTTCAGATGTGTAACGAGGAAGAGGGCCCTGAAAACTGACATTCCAATCCGGTTTTTGATTGCAACGACAGAATATCCAAGCTGCTAGTCCGCCTCCTCCTTCTCCCCCAGCTTAAGCAGATCTTGCTTGAAGCTAAAACATCGGTCTAATCCGTACTCAGAAGATCCAAAATCAATTTCATCGTAAACTGAGTATTCACCGAGAATGCTCATGTCCACTTCTCGAACATCTTCCGTGTATGAGTCTGCGACATCCCTACGCTCCTCACTATGACTTCGCATGATGCATACCGCATCTTCAAGAACTAGTCTTGGTATCAACTCCCTTTGCTTTTCGCTCCACCTATGAAATGCAGAATTGCTAATTAGAAACCGTTCAAGGAGGTACAATACCTCATTTCTGTATCCAAAGATTGTTGACTGGGCTGTGACTGCAATTTGAACCGCATCAGTAAACTCTTTGATAAGGAACGGGCTGTCATCGTAAAATTCAGGATCTTTGTAAGTATGAGCTGTGATATGGGAGAAGTCGGTATATATGATCAATAGTAACATTCTGGCAATGTGGCATCAAGAGAAAATCTACAAGGTACCATATGTGCGCAAGGGTTGAAAGACTCAGACCGGCTTTGTAGCGTTTTTCGATGGAGGACAATGAGCACTCGTTGCAAGCAGAGAGTAATGTATTGTGGACAACATGAGTTGAGATAATGATCGATCCAGTATTCACGTATTGTACTATATGACCGAAAATGTCAGGCTTATTCCTCCAAAAATTGGAGATCTCGCAGAAACCGAATCCACGCGAGCTGACATCTTCATCGAAAAGCTTACGAACTAGATGATAATTAGATCGAAGTATCAATCACAAGAGAGAAAAGAGAGCACCCAGTGCATAGAGACATACAGCGTGGGAAATGGTAGGCCAGGCGCAGCCGTGGGACATGGTAAATTTTGCTGTTTGGTGCTTCTGAAGGTCCATTTTCAAAGCAGATGGAGACGCGATCGTCATCTTTCCTGATTTGAGATCTTGAGGTTAGTGGAAGCTCTACCAATCGAAAAAAACGTTGAATCATACGTGTAATCAAGAATTGGTCTCTTGGGCCAGTCAGGCGGTGGAGGTGATGTCTGCTCACTCATAATATTTCCTGAAGCTAATGGATGGAATTACAAATTTTCAATCAACCTCCATTAACTCCTTCAAAGATTGTTGTGTTTGCTTCGAGATGCCTTCGGCAATGATGCGATAAAAGGATTGTGTGAAGGCTAGCTTTAGCTGTGTGTTTCGAGCGGAAGGTGAAGTCGAAATAATCGCTCGAAGGAGGTAAACATACACGTGCTTCCATTCACTGCTTCTGACCTGATGGTGATTGACTAAGATAAATTCAAGACAGAAAGAGAGTGTAAGAGGGGGTTGAATTTCGATGCTAGCTGGGATATTCAACATATCCAAATCGAGGGGAAAATGTCTCAAAACTATATCGCGAACGACTATTTTCTCTCTTGATATCTCACAGCCATCATCCTACCCAGCTATCTCATATCCTGCCTCAGCGAACTTGGCAGTTATCTCATTTCTTTAGTATTTCCCCGGGTGCTGCTGGCATTATTGCACCTGCCTCTGGTACATTCTTGCTTTTGAAGTCATCAGACATCTGTTCAAATGTGACCCATTTAACTCCCTCATGTTTATTGATGTGATCAATAATTCTGTGTTTTGTTAGTGGGTTGCAGAAACCATATCATACGATAAGCCGACGAGGTTAGGATGTTCGCAAATTGCAAAAGTCCTGGATATCATAAAGAGAAGCCATCGCATACCTTTGCTGCATCTTCAAAGCGTGCGGTCTCCCTGAGACATCTGGATGGATGGTCATAGGAAACACAAACTCATCATAATTCTCGTAAAAATAGTCGAAGTGATCTAACCACATCTGTTCCACTACTTTCGGATCCACCCATCCGTGACTATTGGGTGATTTCTTGATGAACATCATGGGAGGTAGGTCATCGATGTACCATGAAGCTGGAATTTCAACCATGCCAGATGGCACACCTTTGACAAGTGGCTTCATCCACTCCTCTGCCTTCTTACTATAATCAATCTTTGTCCAGGTATCTCCGAGTCTCAACCAATACATTTGACAATCATCATGGCTCATACTATGATCATACTCTATTCCGTAGCTCAATAAAAGTTCTGCTCCTTCTTTACTTGTTTCCCACCAAGGAGCCACGCTTCCCCTTGGTGGTTTTCCGCAGAAATCTGTCAATAATTTATATGTTTTATCAAGAACATCTCGTTGCTGTTCAAGTGTCATATCAACAGGGTTTTCGTGGGAGTAGCCATGAAGACCAATCTCATGACCCGCATCACGAACCATTGCGCATTCTTCAGGAAAGGTCTCAAGAGAATGACCAGGTATAAACCAAGTCGCCTTCATATTGTTCTTCTCAAAGAGTTTGAGAAGACGACGAACACCGAGTGTACCAGCGAACAGTCCTGATTGTCGTAAGTTTAATGATATTCCAAGAGCCAAGAGAAAAATGAATATGAGATTTTCAGTTGAGATCAAGCTTCCATATAACATCAGAATACTCTATTCTGGGACTAGAGAGTCATGTATAAAAAGCTAGATATTGAGAAGAGGAATAGAGATTGTTATTAATTTGAGTAACAAACCTCTGCTAATGTCTGATGTTGAGTCTTCGCCACCATATGAACCTAACCATCCGGCTACAGCATCAATATCGACTCCATAGCCGCAGAGCACGCGTTTCTTGACTTTCTTATCCATTTCTGTGTTTGAGGAGGGGGGAGAAGCAGAAGAAGACATAATTGGGTTCGGGAAAGTATATAGTAGTATGAGTGGATGAAGATACACGACCTACGAGAGCTGCACTGCCTGCTGCTTTGTACTTCGTTGTTAATTACCTTGACCACGATGGAAGTCACTTTAGCATTCTGGAGTGTGGGGAAAGCTTCAATTGCCGCCTTCATTAGGAACATTTTGATAAGAGCTTCAACGTTTCGATTATTAAGAGGAATTGATTGCTAGGTACTTTATCCGAAAAGAGGAAGCAAATATCCGAAAGCGTGTAATAAAACCAAGTCACGTGATATTATGTTGCGGCGAGACAACTCCATCGAGAAAGATACCCCTGTCAAATGCATGTGATTGTTTAGATGCACTAAGTGGGCTTATGGACACCAGTAGGTACCGTATTCGAGCGTATTCTAATTTTGAACCAGAAGGTAGGATCGCATCAAGGTACGAGCCAAAGGAAGATAGGACCAGCTTGCGTTATTAACATTACCAAAGATTCCTTGATCTGATCTCATAGTCAAGCATCAGTACCTAGGTATTTTATGCCAATGTTCGTTTACATCGATTGCCCATCTTGAAGCTTTAGAATCATATTAGGCGCAACCCCAACAACTTTACTCTATCTACGAAGCTTACGACGTTGACGAGGAAAAGACATTTGTTTACAGGCGTTGCAGAGACTGACACCCTGCGGTGCAGTTATATCTTTGAGGCAAATGAAAGTCGAATGAATGCAGCCCTTGAATCCTTTCCTGAGTGCTTTCTTCAAGAGTGCTCTGCCTACACAGTGTACGCCGGTACACCATCATGTAAGCTTTTCAACAATGCTAGATTTCCATCACCATAGTCAACGAGGGGCATTGAACGCGAAGCTGATAGCTCTTTAGATATTACTAGTACCTACTACCGAAGTTCTCCTTACCTCCCGCGATCGAGAGACCGGCGCGCTTTACGCAGACCTTGCAGGATCGGAAGATTTCCTGGGCAGTCATGTCTTGCGAGTACCGGCCAACCATGCTGCGACCGCGGGGGGGAAGGATGCGCCAAATATGCGGGAGAACCGAGGGAAGGCAAAACAATATACAACAGTCAATGGGAGGACTGTCGTGATCAAAGATGCTTTTGTTTACAGTAATAAGGGTTGGTAGTGTGTCAATTCACTGGAGGATTAATACTAATACGCCCTACCGCAGGATTTAAGACCTTGAACCAAGCCCAACTCTTGTCAGATACTTTATGGTACCCAGATTCGCTCGAACCACGACAATGGCTTGTCTACTACATATCTAGACCTTTGGTTGGTATATTCGAGGAGATCAAAATCACAACTGCAATGTTAGCCACGAGGCTGCCAGATGGTAGACCGATTATCCCAGCAAGGTCGTCCTCAATGTCTGATGCCGCTTCTATGAACGGGCTTCCTCGCAAGAAGGATATAAAGAGTTTCAGTGACCTTTTGACGAATTTCCCTATGATTGCGAAACAGATGCAGCCCGGCCTTGAGGCCCTGTTCAAGGAATTTAATCAAGTATTTGAAAAGCAATTACCTCCCCCGCCATCGGCTGCGAATATTCCTGATCCTGTACCGGATGGACCCATAGCTACAGCGATGAAGAAAGCACGGTCTAGTAGTTTTTCGACTCCAAGCCAACCAAATGGACATGTGCAACGTTATATCGTAGATTTCTATACCGAGGACGATGAGAATGTTATGCGGGGAGCTTTGGAGACCGCAGTCACGTCCGCGATTGATCTTTTCCAAATGGTCGACAAGCAGCAACTCTCCCTTCTTGGAGCTACGACCGATCTTACAGGTCCAATCGTAGAACGTTTGATTGATCGTTATGTTACCGAGCAATTGCATGATACCATTTTGTTCCCAAGACTTTGCACAATGAAGCGACCCGAGGACTTGGAACTGGAATCGAAGATCAGGCAGATGGAGTTTGTGGATATTTCACAAGTTGGTATACCAATTCAGGGTGGGCATCAAGGAAAGCATGAACTCACATTACGACTTGGTCGCGCCGTCGAAGAATTTCGGAAATTGAATGGAGCAGGAAGCCCTCAGCAGATGATGGATATTCTACTTGTAACATTGAAAGCAGTGACGCAGCTCATTGAAATTCCAACGAGCATAGGAGGGCCTAATTCTCCCGAGAAAATAAGCTCTGTCTTGACTATCAATGCTGATACTCTCGTATCTTTATTACTGGTTGTGGTCATAAGGGCGCAGGTCAGGTATCTCCAGGCTCGTCTCTTGTATATGCGTCACTTTATATTCGTCGATGATGTGGAAAGCGGTGAGATGGGATATGCGCTAAGCACGTTTGAAGCTGTCTTATCGTATCTGGCAAGAGATTCTGGAGGTCTGCGGAAAGCTAGTCGGCGAAACCACAAATTATGGGCAGCTACGAAAAAAGGCAACTTAAAGGAGATGATGAAGATTATGGAGCCAGAGCGAGAGCTTTCTTCTGACGAAGAAGAATCTGACCACGAGGAAGCCATTGTAGATGATATAATCGATGAGAACAGGCCATGGAATACTTCGAATGGGCATGCCAGGCGAAGATCCTCTGGAGTTGCTACCCGACTTTCTCAAGCATCTACTCTTACTCACGTATTTCCTTGGCAGTATTCACATGACGGTGCGGATGAAGAGCGATTACCACCACTGCGGAGACCCAAGACAGTTACTATGGATGTACGAAGTTTATCTAGCAACTCCGAGATGTCTTTCAGATCACGGGCTACCACGATTGACTCAACAAGTAGCGGCATCGAAGGTGATACCTCAATAGAACGATTGTCGCAAACTGAAGACTCATCTGGCGAGTCTGTTCTTATGATGGCCGTTCAGCATGAGAGACCGGAGTCACTTAGGTATCTTCTGTCGTTACAATACTACTTCCCGCTACGGTCGGTCCTTGAAGATACGAATAATGAAGGAACAACTTTATTGAGTGCTGCTGTGCAGTTAGGGCATACCGAACTTATTAATATAATACTGGATTTTGTTTATCGAGCTTCATCGGAATTGATTGTCATTGGATATCTTTCAAGGCAGGATATTAACGGCAGGAGTGTGGCACATTTTTTATTTAACTATCCGGAGCTGATTTCGAGAGTCGGGCGTTTATTGCCTTGGAGGCAGAAAGACAAGAATGGCCAAACGCCACTTTTCGCTTTATGCAGATCATATGACCATGGACGCTACAGACCTATGGTAGAGGCAGCAATTGCCGCTGCTACAACTTCTCAAGGAGATAACCAACCTCTACATTTGGACGACCATGTTGACTTGAAAGGTAACACATTGTTACATATCGTCAATGATCCTCAAATAGCATTACAACTTCTTTCTCATTGCGATTCTGATGTTAATGCGACGAATGAGAAGAAATTTACGCCACTCATGGTAGCTAGTAAATATGGTCGATTAGAAATGGTTCGAGCTTTATTTTCAGATCCAAGAGTAGACCTTTTTGCCAAGGAACTTCGTGGATTGACAGCGGTGGAGCTGGCTAAGGATGATGACGTGCGGAATAGAATTGATGATTTAATTTTATTCTCAGGACTGCCAGCCACTGATGGAAGAATCACAGCTGTAGTCAGGTCATTTTTCGTTGAGGATGCAACTATTCGATTGGTACTTAAGTCTGGGGCACCATCAGGACCTCAAAACTTCACTGTAACCACTTGCCGACGCTCTTTGTCTGATTTTGAGCACCTGGCAAAATTACTCGCCCTGGAAAACCCAGCGTCGTGGTTGCCGTCTATATCAGGAATGAGATCTCCTTTTCAATTCCCCTCAAGGCCTTCTAGAGCTGTCTTAAGAGATATACAGGTTCATCTCGACGCATTTTTGAAAATTCTACTAGCACATACCACCTTCTCAACGCATGAAATGCTATGGGAATTTTTCCTGGTACCAGATATACAAGCAGAAATGATGGAACAGAGGTCTAAATTGAAGGCCGAGGCAAGGGTAGAAACCGTACGGGAGGAATACCAGCCAATTGGTGATGTTCGCGATGTGGAACAATTCGTAGATCATGCACGAGATATGGTTCGAAGTGTCAACTATTCTACCAAAAGTGTAGCACGCAGGGCTAATATGGTGGCAACTGTTACCATGGGTATGTTTTCCATAACACTTATATACAAAAGAGGACTAACATGAATAGACCTTTACGATGCTTATAAGCTTTCTACTCGCGCAATTTCAACCCTAACCTTCATTCCTCAAACTCATATATCAGCTCTTGAAGCCTATACCCAAACACTTGCTCCATCCTCCACATCCCCATATTCCACTTTCCATACCACAATCCTTTCGATTCATAGCACCATAATCGCCATGCTACTATCTCTATCCCGTCCCACATCACTCATATCATCAATTACTACATCCCGGAAATCAATAGAACGTTCATACAATTCCCTTTCCCGATCAACTCGCTGGCCGCTTGGTCTCCTGGACGAAACTCGTCAACGGTTGAACGAAGAAAAAGAAGACAAAGTCCGGAGAACAAAAGAAGAAGTCGAGGAAACGGGAAGAGAATTGAGATACACGCAACAAGTTGTAGCAGCAGAACTGGCTGGTTGGCAAGATTTACACGAGAAGATGGGGCGGAAAGCCGTGAAGGATCTGGCGCAGTCAATGCTTGTCAGAGAACGTACAACATTGGAAGGGTTGAGAAGAGCAGTGAGGAGGTTGGAGAGAGGAGAGAGGAGAGTTGTGGAGGTTGTGATGGAGGAGAGTGAAGATGAAGAAGAGGGTGGGGAGGTGGTGGCTAGTGGTAGTCATGTTGAGAGTGTCACTCTGTAGTTGCTACATCGATTTGATGCAGAATCGAGAGGTGTTCTTTGCAGGCGCAGAGATTGACGAATGGGAATGACTGAAATGAAATGGCACATTGTGTTTTGTTTTGGTTTGGATAGAAATCATGACCATGCCTGGTGATTGAGGTGTGGCATGAATTGATATGATATTATACTGTATAGCATCCTGGCGTCTAGGCATACACATAACCCCACGAGCGGGTTTTACTTATTGATTATATTTCATTACTAGATTCCAACGTATTGTGTTCCAAGTGATACTGTATTATTCTGAACTGATATGAATTGCATATCCTAATTCTTTTCGCAAGTATCGTCCAACTCATCCGGGAGTATCAATCGGACAATAAATGTAAGTCTGAAATACTACAAAGCTACAAGTAATTATTGTCTCATATATCATTACTCATGAATCATTTAGTAGTGCATGTCCCATCATGATATCATTCCATCCCATAATACCATGAATGTTGACCCTCTCAAGTCCTATAATTCAACCTTGATAACTAGGGTACTAAACCATCGACTCATGAGCTTTACAACCAGTCGTCTTCAGGCATTCATCTCCACGATATACCCAGCTACCGTATGGATGACACTAGAGCTCCTCTCGCGCCCCTATTCGTATCCGAACACCATCATGATATTATTGCTGAATTTAGGCAACACAAGCATTCAATTTGCCCACAACTTCTCGTTCCCACCAACTTTCGAAATCCAATACTAATTTGTCTTTTCGGGCTTCTTCTGCTGCGAATACTACCGCGTGACTTCGGATTACTTCTTCTACTATAATTAGAGGGTTTTTAGTCAACTTTAAACGGCAAAAAGATGTGAAAAATTATAAAGAAAGAAGATGAAACTTACAGCTACACCCTACCCATTTCCTCTGCGCAACTTCTACTTCTGCGTCCTCATTCATGACACTATTTATAGCACCCACAAACTGTTTTACTAGACCTTCATCCCCACCTCCATGTCCACTCTTGATATCCGTGATTTTCGGCTCATAAACCTTTGTTTCCCCAGTGTTGAAGTCCTCAACTGTGATCGTCGTACTATCTGCATGTATTTCTCCATCACTACCGTATATATGTGAATATCTCTCACAAATCTTTTTTGTATGAGATACCATATGGAACGAAGCTTGTTTAGCTCCGCGATTGAGAGAAGGATTGGCAGGAAATGTAAGAGTTACGAATTGGTCATCGTTAACTGTGTTGTCGGATTCGTAGACGCAGCGGCCGAACCAGTTTTTGCCTTCGATCTCGGGGGCAGGTGTTGAGGATGTGTAGTCTTTGGATAAGACAGAGAGGACGGCGGATTCAGCGGCTTGAGGACCAGAAGTACTAAGGATATCTTCGATGTCTGGAACAAGAATGTCGACAGGCCAGTTGGTGTTGGGGGCTTTGAGTCCTTTATGTTTTGGGGATATGTATATGTCTTTGGCCGAGTATTTACACTCTGGTTCAATGGGACAGGAAAGACAGTTTGTTGCGGTGCCTGCGGCTGTGGGTTTGCGGGTACGGGTGAATTGCTGTACTGAACCAGAGGAGGTTATTGTTTCGGGGAGATGGGGTGGAGCGATTGGGTCAGAGGGGGGAGGAGAACAGAGGAGCCAGAGAAGGAGATCAATATCGTGGCAAGATTTGGTGAGGAGAGATGGGGCGGTCGTGGATTCTTTGCGCCAGTTTCCACTATTTGGCTGTTAGCTATCATGCCTTGGAATTGGAGAGGAAACAACCATACCGAACATAGCTATGGGTAAAATGCCACCAACCCACCGGCTCAGTATGGTTAATACTCAGCACGTCCCCAATAACCCTCTCTTCCAAAAGTAACTTCCTCAACATCATATTATGCGGACTATACCTCAACACATGTCCAATACTGAAGATTTTGTCTGGCAGTCTATTCCGTGGATATTCGGGCAGCATCGCCCTATAAATCTCTACACAATCCTCCAAAGTTGTCGCCAACGGCTTCTCACACATAATATGCAAGCCCAATGGTTTCAATCCCACAATAACCTCTTTGTGCATTTCATCCAGCACGCATATAAAGGCGGCATCGACCCCAGGTGGTACGGACTCCCCGCGAGCAGCGCGGGCTCGTCGATCGAGCTCATAGGAGAGAAATTCTTTCCAGTTGGAAAATGATTGTCCTTCAGACGGGGAGTCAGAACCCCAGATGTAGCGCGAACCAAGGCGTTGCCGTTTATAGGGGATAGGTTCTGCGACTGCAGAGACGATACCCGGGGTAGATTCGTGCACACAGCGGGAATATTGACTACCTCGAGATCCGGCGCCGATAATGAGGATGCGGGGTGGGATTGAGGAGGTAGTTGTGGAGGGGTTGATGGGATCGGATGCATGCGGTGACATGTCTACGAAGCGGTAGTTTGAGGTTGGAATTGCTGTAGATTAGCTTGGAATTTGAGAGTAATATCAAGAGATATTGGCGTGAAGGTTGAAGCTTCAATTGAATTAGATACACTCGAGGATATCTATGTGTACTTGATTGATCGCACTTGTCGACAACAAAGGCATGGATGAACGATAGGCCATCACATAATGAAAATGAATTGAACTTTACTTATCCTCGGTTTCAGGGCGTACCCAGGTAGTAGAACAACACATCCTACCAACTGTGTAGATGCTAAGCTATTGAGCTACCTAATCATGCAGGAAGGGCTCTTCAGGTCCCTTGCTTGACCCCGCGATAAGGGGTGGGGAAAGTAACGTTACTGGGTTCGAACCAATGATAACCGATGAATTTGTATTGCAAAAGATATCCGCACTTTCTTCATATCTTCATCTTCGTATTGCTGTTGTACACAACCAAGTCTGTCTCTTTAAATGTGCCTTAGCGTAATGAAACTCCGGACTGAGAAAATAGGGAACAGCTGATGAGTACTTTGGGGGGAAGAATCACTACGTTACATCAGGGCGTCTTTTGTTGCATATCTGCTTAAAGTCTGACGCAATACAAGACATTTGGAATACGGATACGCCTTGTAGGTTGAACTAGAGTTCACGGGTATCACATTCTGGGCATGAAACTTGAGGTCACAGATAAGATAACATTCACAATTGAGTTTATAGCTAAACTATAAATTTTGCACGTTACTTTCAGATCGCCTTTTTCTTCGAGCGAAGCGTAGAGCATGGGAAGCGACGACGCTCCACACCAGGTAACAACGTAGAATCTTACCCCCTCAGGAAGTATAGGGCAGTGGACGTTGCATTCATCCTTTTTCACATAGTATGGTTCAATGCCTGTCATCCATTCGAAGGACTCTTCGGTTGTGTTCTTATATCCAGTTGCATGAGTTTTCCCCTTCCTGGGCGATTACCGCTCCAAGACATTCTCAATATCCATCAAAAAGGTCAGGATAGATCTCGTACACCTGTCATTGAGAGTGGGATGAACAAATTTTGATGCGTGGGGTGCCACATACCCATCGGGAGTTCCAATTGCAATATCCTGTAGCATCGGAGAACATCCATCAAGAACGACATCCACAAGCCCAGCTTGGTGTCGAAATCGATTAGCAGATGCAATAACATGTGTGCCAGTGGCATTGCCCTGTCTCCAACAAAAGTTTGAAGATTATTCCCGAGTTCTGACTATGAGATCCTCGCATAGCGAACCTCATATGTTTCGTACCATCCACTGATCCTGCGCTCGACAAGTTCCCTCATTGCTTCGTATGTCTGACATTTATCTTTTAGATCTTCACGAAAATCAATTTCCTCAAACTTGACTCTGGGTTGTCGGTCAAGTTTACAATGTGCTCCATACTTATTCACTTTGTGAGCGGTCAGTACAACGGGAGAAGTCCAGTTGTGGGATACCGCACTTTTACTGATAGTCGCGTATACAACGTTCCTGTCGCCAAGCTTCCGGTTTGATTGTCTTAATGTTCCAAGGTACACGCTAGGTTTGAATAATGGATCGGGTAATCCATGATCTTCACCGGGATATTGAAATGGTGGATTTAACACACCCAGTGGTGTAGCAGGCCGCTGTTCGGTAAACACATCGTGTGCGGGATTGTCGTATGGTTCTTCTGGGAAACTTATTATGACTTCTTGCGCTGAATCAAGTTGCTTGGGTGACAGGCATTTTGACACTCGTGCAGATAAAGGTTGAGTAGAAAGAGCGAACAACTTTGCTGAGTCGATAGATATCTCGGACGGAAAGTAAGTTGGCGGAATTTCTAGCTTAGGCGGAGCTAGAGGCTTTAATGTTTTGTGCTGGGGCGATGAAAGTCCAGAATCGTTACCGGTTAGAGGTAGGAAATGAGTTTCTGATGGAAATATCCGGTCTTCATCTGATATTTCCACCACGTGGGACAATCGTTCCAGTATCTCCTCTTCTGATTTGGTCCGTTCTAGTCCCTCGCATTCCTGAGATGCCATTTTTGGAGCAATCGAGGGAGAGGAGAATACATTGTTGTATCCGATGGTTAGAGAAAATGTTGAGAAGCAGTCCTTATATTGCTGTTGATTTGAGAGCAAGATTAGGAGTTTTCTTGATTGTCTTTGTAAGCTCTAGATGGTCAAATAAAGAATATCAAAATATATCAACGCGATCCTTGAGCATCGCTAACATGTGAAGATCGAATAAAGAATTGTGATATTCATTACTAGAAAACTTGTACAGATTGATCGAGACTTCTCGAAAAACTTACGATTCTCCTGGACCTTTCAGAGGTGGTGATGGCTGGACATTGCCATGGATGCCATCGCACAGAGTATACTTATGATGCCCGTCATATCTCTGCTTCAAATGCCATTGCGATGATAGCAAAGCTTGTAGACTATACGATAAATCATCAAATAACTTGGATCAACGTCTGTTGTATCACAATCAAGCATATCGTGAGAGAGGGTATTTATATTGATGTTTGTACGGAGTAGAAGAGAGCACCTACAGTTTGAGAGCAAGTGGAGAAATTTTGATCATTCGCCGAAACTCGGGTTCTGGCCTCAATGTCAAGGCATCGTACCGTGTCACATGATCCGTACCTCGCTTCTCAGGATCTTTCAATTCTGCCTCCGAACCTCCCAACTACCTTGAGATCCCCAATTGACGCCCATCATACTTGTCAAGATGTTCACACAAACTGTCCGCGCTTCGGTATGCTACATGCTCAGCTCAAAATGTCATTTTACTAACCGCAGAAGCGCTCTCAAATCGCCCGCGTTGCGAGGCAGCAAATGATCAGCAAGAGAACTTTCATCGTTCCTACTGCTGTTCGTCGTGGTACGTTCATAATCCTATTCACAACTAATATTCTGCCTCCAAAATCACTGCCACCCGAACACATAATATACGCAGATTTGGCCGCCAGTCAGAAGCTAATTCCGATCAATAGCGGACCTTGTCCAAGATCTTTACCTTAAGGAATTGAAGGGTTACAAAGCACCTCAAATCAAGGCATCCGATTCCGAAGGACAAGTTCTCAAGTTCTCCCCACCTAAGGCTCCTACATCTCCAGAAGAAACCGATATCGCAAAGGAATTGGCAGCATACGAGGCAAGCACAGTCGAAGTAGAGGGACAAGCTGAGGGAGGTGTTGAAGCCAAGGAGGTTGATTGGTTTGAGGAGGAGCCTGAGGAGGAGGCTGCACACCACTAGATTACGAAATGATACCGGAGTGAAAATGTGAAGCCGCGTGGTAGATTAAAACGTGGGGATGCGATGGAGGGGCGGGGAAATGTGTACACATAGTGAGGTGGTAGAATGAAGTGCGAATTGTACAGTCATTAACCGCCTATTTTGAAAGAAGACTCGATCGACTGGATTATCTTCCGGAGCATATGTCACTATTTTTTTTCTCTATTTTGGAAGCAGGGTGTCCATACCGTCCATCTCGAGACGATTAAATCGCTACTATCTGCTTACTTTGGTCCCTCTTTTTTAACCCAATCCACGAAATCATGAATGTTTCACGCCAAGTGGCTAGGATTCCTGAATCACAGGGAGCGCTGTCATGACGAAATTGTACAAAAGAATACTTAGTATATTCAATCCAGTTTTGGAATTGGAATTCCGCACCATCCACAATAGATATGCGGCCACTTCCTCGTTCGAGAAGATCCCCTGCTACTAGCTGCACGGGCCTTTGCGGGGGGTACTAAACATCTTCCTCTTGTTCTCCCGCCCAACATTACTGCCTCCAAAATCACCACTTCATTATTCTTGAACAGCGGGGAAAATGTCCTCTTTTAAATTCGCTGTATTGATCCTACATTAAGTATCGCCCATCATGCAATCCTTCCGGCCCATGTACATGACTAGTGAACTGGCTACCATCCGAATATCAGTCAGTCAAGCTACCTCGTTCACCCAAAGTCATTTCAATCAATCTCCAACATCCACAGAAGCAGTTTTCTTAATACCTCTTCCTTCCAGCTCATATACCCTTTTCTTCATACTTGTGCCGTCCAATTCAAACTTTCCGGGTCCCTCCATCTCATGAAAGTTGGCAGTCGTTTCTAGCTCTAATGCATTCTTATCACTTCGCATCTTCCATGGAAGCGTGAGAGGCTGTTTTCGTTGATCTCGATGACGAATGACGACAGCCACTATCACCAAAAGAAGCAGGCCTAAGACACCGGTGATAATACCCACTATCATAGGCATGCGATTATTTTTTATGTTGGAACTCGATGGTGTATTTGTAGATGCTGATGAGGTATCGGTAGATGATGCAAATAGTGTCGGGTGTGTGTGCGCGGTGATATTAACCGTACCTGTGGTCACACCTGAAACTGATCCTAAGCTCGAAATATATTCGTTTCCTGATATTATCGTCGAAACAATTTGCTCTGCTGTTGTTGAACTACTACTACCGTCACCTATGACAGTACTGCTGATGTGGGTACCTACGGTGATATTACCAGTGCCACTGGGGTACCTCGTCGTTTTATCGATGCCGCTGCTATCGTCTCTTTTATAAACCGCAAAGTCGTTGACCCAAAAAGCACCCGAAAGTGTCTTATCACCCTCACAATCGCCCAAAATTACCCACGGTGGAAAATGCACATTATTTATATCGAGCCCTGTTGGTACAGTCCACTTGAATTCTCCAGATAATAGTGGAACATTTGCTGTTGCTTCCGTATTAGTCTTAATCCCAGACGTATGAAGATGACAAACAGACAAGCTATTTCAAGAATTGAACCTCCAACGCCAGAATCAGTGACCATTCGCATTAAAGTCAAATTGGTAGTTCCACTTTGACGTGAGTGCCATTTGATGGCATAGTTACTACCCGAGATTAGGATTTGCCTATCACTTGGCGCGAGGATTTTGAGCTCAATCGCGTAACTTGAGTGCACCAATAAACACAGAATTGAAGCGAGCACACAAATTACGTGAAAATATAGAATCATCTTGATTACATGTTTGATGTATCGTTTAGAAAGAAACAAATATCACATAAACGGTGCTATAGTAAAGAGTTAAATACGTTTGAGCATCTTGCTACCATGTGCGCAACCTCCGAACCCAGCTGCTAACAAAGGATTAGGAGATTAGTAGATTTGTGGCCCGAATTAATGCGAAATGAGCGTCTTGGCCCCAACTCAATAAAAAGTATTAATATAGCTCAGTGGACGAAGTGGCACCCAGGATCTTCTCCACGAAGTGATTACTGAAACGGCCCCCAAATTAACTCTCTGTTGTGTAACCCAGCTCACAGCATAAATCGCCAGCGGCCCCAATCATCCATCAAACTATCGCTGATTTTTGGCACGAAGGAATCTCAAACTGTGATGGTGGCTAACTTTGGTTATGTTGAATAAGGCTATAGGCATCGATGTCCATGTTGTGGCGCTAGCATTAAGGAACTTGAACCGAGTGGTAATTTCGTCCATCTCGTTTTTCTCTCTCTCGTTTCTTACTTCTTCAGTGAGCCTCCGTGTCGGCATCTCGTTCCTGCATATCAATCTGATATTCTGCAACTTTTATCTCCACGAGGTGTGTGGAGGAATAAGAAAGGTTTGCCAAGTTTACCCCTTAATGAATTTTTACCACATGGATCTAGACACAAGCCATAATCACGAATACGTGCCTGTTTAACACTGATGAGGATTGTCGCCGCGTGTACTACATATGAATGATTGTCTGGTATTTTTATTTGAAGACTGATACGATATTGTCATCTTCATTTGCACGTATCTCCACCTTGCTGCTTCTTTCTTGAAGTTACGAGGTCAACACCAGCTTTGATACGATATTAGAGACTAGTGACATACTAGCAATGAAATCCATCATGACACTATAAATTACCTCTTCGAACAGCCTTGTTGCACATTCAATACCTTCAAATCACAAGGCGCATTTTGAAGAATCTGTAAGAGCCGTGGAACTAGTAAATAGTTTACGAAACTGCTCCGTGCCACTACTCTCTTCGCTACCCTTACGCTCTTCACACGACTTTGTTGCACATCTACAAAATTCTTAATCCAAGACATATTCAAACAAGGCTTCAAACTTACTCAATCCCCTCAATCACCGCACCACACCAAACCAAATTCGACACCGGCAAATCCATCCACTCTTCACCAATATCCAATCACATCTCCCAAAATACTTTGTTGCGCATCTTCATCTTTAATTTTACAAATCTCAATGCGCATTTCAAACTCAATATTTTATGAGCAGGGCGGTAGATGATAAGCTTTCGATCACCTAGGTATGGTAATATGTTTAGGGTTTCGGCACAGGAAGTTTGATCTGAGATTTTGGGATGCGAAACGTCATTGTTTACTGGCGTAAACTTGTATTCTTTCGAAGAGCATCCAATCGTGTGGTTGGGAATGGTGGTATTGCGTTTCTGGACTTGTGATTTTATAAATTTTATTCTGTCGTGAGGGGGTTGTGGATGGGTGTGTGGGATGGTGTGGGATGGTTTGATTTAGAGCGGTAGAGAATAGAGTTTGAATATCGACCTATCTGGCGATGTTGGGTTTAGAGTTTGCTTCGGAAAGTGTAAAGCTAGGTGATGACGGGCTTAACTTTACAGATTCAAGTTCGTTCCTAAAGGCGGTGATGAAGCTATCCATGTAGAATGTACTGCGGCGGTGTGGTCCATGTGAGGTGAATACCTCCAGCTAGTATCGATACGCTGTCTTGGTGGATGGCTTTGCTTTCTTTCGAAGTTGGTTTCACTAGGTATTCAAGCTAGTTGTCTGCAGCGCTTTCCTATGTCTATGTAGTGTAATATGTAATATGTAGTATCTGGATGACTTACTTCTCTCCTCCTCTTCTCAATCTATCTCAAATTATATACTAACCATCTCCTCTCCTCTTCTATGCTTTACACTCTCTCAACTTTTGAAGCACACACACGTCCATATCTAAATACATAGAAGCACGAATGGGGATAAAAATCCCATTCATTCAAATGATCAATCAGTCAAGCAACGTTTACAAGACACAGATGGCCAGATAGATAGAGAGGCAGATGCACGTATAGATAGATACACAAAAACCAGGTGTTGAAAAATTAGATCTCATTACCAAGTAGATAGACAGGTAATTAAACCCCCCTTTCCATCCATCTTGCCTTCCTTCCAGCACATTCACCCATCCACGCATGCACGCATGCACGCATACATGCATCCATCAAACATACAAAAAATATCCATCCATCTCCCCCTCCTAACGCCATCTAGATCCATTACCTGTACTTCGTAGTCTAGAAACCAAGAAATTCAACCCACCCAACTCCATCATTTCATTTCACAGTCTCCATTAATAGTGTTTCTCCACTTTCCATTCTTGCTAGTTTTGGCTTGCTTGCTCGTTCGCTCAACTCACAAAATCAATCCTTTGTCAACTTTGACACTTCTCCTCCCTCCATCTACAACTTCCGACCCCCATTTTCCCTTCCATCCCCTCTCCCTCTCTCTAGCTTCCTCAAAAGCCCTCCTACAATCTTCGGGTAAAACGTCAAGTACATCTTCACTAACTCCGCTCAAGCCATCCATACCAATTAAATTATCTCCTGCACTTCCATTTGATTTTCCGCCCGCGCTCAAATCCCAACCCGCGCCATCTGGACCTGGGACGCCGTAATGTGTCGATGGAGAGGATTCCATGTATGTATCTACTATCATGAGATTTCTGGAAAAGAATGGTTTGACTGGTGGGAACAGTGTTGATGAATCTGCAGACGGGGATTGTGGTTCGTTGTCGTTTATTTGTTCCCAGCGGGCATGAGTCGGTTGCATGGTTCGTGGGTATTGCATGATATTTGTGTGGGGATCGTAGATACCGTTCAGGTTCTGTCGACGAGCTGCTGAAATTGCGGAGTTGAATCGACTTTTTTTACGTGTTAGTGAGGGATTCAAATTGAATTTTGGAAAAGAAAAGAAAAGAACAAACATACCTAGCTTCTCGAGCATGTTCCAACATCCAATTAACATCATTAACCATAATCTTTCTTTTCTTGCCATCATTCATCTTTCCGGTTTGTTGTGGGACAGTGGGTTGGCCAGAATGATATACTGAACTTGCTCCATGCCATGCGACGTATTGATTTTTGTTATATGCTTCTCCATCCTTAATTGCATCGTTTGGATCAGCCAAAGAGCCTTCTTCAACTCCCTCTTCCCTTGCTTTCGTAACCTCATAATCATCTGTGATTCTCTTGCCTCCAACAATAATTTGAGCACCGAATTCGCGGAAAACTGATCTCGCCGTAACAATTCCAATAGCTCTTCCCTTATAAGAATGTGGAATGAGTTCTCGTTCAATCATGTCCCTCTTCTCCTCCTCATCGATAATAATCTTAAATAACCTCTTATGCTTCGCAAAGAAAAGATAACTATCTCTGAATCCTACACAACGTGCTGGTTCGGTGGATAACATATAAAGTCTCTTTCCTCTTCCATGCACCGTAAAAG